ATGTTAATGAAATTATACTAATGATTTCTTGTGGGTATTGGAAATGGATTCACTCAAAGGTTGAATATAGTATAAAAGGTCGGTAACGTTCAATAGGTAACTTTAAGCGTGTGAAAAATCTAGGTTATCGCTGCAATAAGCTATAAATAGTAACAGGGGTGGTGCACGAGACAGACAATACTTACTCTTCCTAGAACTTCTAAAAACGCGTTTGATTTGAAGTGGGAGGTGTATACAATCATGTCGGCATACATACATGTGGCTCTAGATTTGCTTTTAACAAAATTGTATCTTGATATTCGAATAGAGCAGAACGGTACTGTTTTTCCATGATCCCTTAAAGGGCTAATCCCGATACTTTTTGGGGAATAAAACTGCGTAATTTTGTGTTAAAATCCCTTAAAATCCTCTAGCTGAGGGCCGAGCAACTAACTCAATATTTGTGATAAGTTTTCAAACCACTTAAACCCGTCAGTCTTCGTCTGGAAATGGATACCGATGTCCCAAGCTGTATTATGCGGTGTCTAGATAAAACCAGACTTTTACATGTATTTTATAAAAATAACGTGTAGTTGAAATTTACCTTTCGTTATCAAGTACAGCACATGGGTCATTCACTACATAGACCTCTCAAGGAACGGGAATCGATTATCAGGTCACCCAACGAAAAAACTGACCCGAAATCTTAAAAGGGTTACGTGTCCGGATAAGCAATTTTGACATTCACGTCCAAACGACTCAATATTTTGAGCTGGAATTTTTAGAGAAGTTAAATATCCAATTCCTCTATATTTTGGCGCTTTAATTCCATACGTACTCCGACTTTTATTTTTGAGACTCTATTGATATCGGGATAGTCCTTTTAATATCCATTGCACGTGTACATTGCACACGACAGTGTCTAGTCGTTTAGATAGGGCAATAAACGGGGATCTCATACATGCAACGCCGGATTAATCATGGTGGGGGGCCTGGAACATGTGGGGGGCCCTGATCAGCAACCGCGGAGCTGTGGCCGGCCACCGCGAGCGCCGAAGGCGCGAAGCCCCGCAAGGAGGATCGAGGGGGGGTCTCCCCCCACGCGAAGCCCCGCAAGGAGGGTCGAGGGGGGGGGGCTCCCCCCAGGAAATTTTCAGAAATTGGTATTTCGGGCACTTGTGTCAGAGCCATTTAGAAGTACCTCCCCTAGAAAAAAATAAAATTCTGCCACAAAATTAGAGCATTCTGGCGTTATTTCAGTGGACCAATCCATGCGAGTGCTATGAAATGATGGCATTTCTAGAGGAGGGGGATGGAGACCATTGAGCCGGTTAAAACCGCCACTGTAAGTGAGCAGAGCTACATCAAACCTAATTTTGAAGTCGCTCGGTGATAAATAACGGGGTCACTTGATTCGGAATCGTATTATATCCCCCACGATGATTTGATGAATGGAGGCCGTAACGTTACGACCAAGCCGGACTCGATTTTTGACGAATGTCTAACACTGTAAGTACCAAATGGTAATACGAGATTTAATGAAGAAATCTGAATATTTCGTGTGATCATGATGTGCATTTCATCAAATTCAGCTTATACCCACAAAAAATATCAACAACTATAGCTTATATACAATCGTACGTCAATCTGAGGCAAAATTCGCGCTACTCGAAATGATGGGGACGGGTAATATTTTCGAGTTATACGATAATTCGAGTTAGACGATGTTCGGTCCGATAGAAGATCTCACGACAATAAAAGACCATGTGTTATACCCTTAGATAAAGCCACAAAAAGCGTTTATTTTTCAAATCTTCAAGTTTCCGGGAAAGTTGCCAAGCCACACTCGCCTGCAAGATTCAAAAACGTACAAGGCAGTACTCTCATTAGAATTTGACAATTCGCCTGTAAATAGCGTTGAATTCCGGCGATCCACTCAGAAAACATCTCGGAGCATCGGAGGGGGCCCCGTCACTAGGTCACCGGCCGTTGGAGTCCTCGGTCCGACCATGCTCGCGGCGCGCATCTGAGATTTTTGTGGGGGCCCTCTAAGGTGGGGGGCCCTGGGGCCTGGGCCCCATGGTGCCCCGGGGTTAATCCGGCGTTGCATACATGTACACATTGGCGCGCACATGAAATAACCCTTGACATTTGAATTCGATATGAGTAGACTGTAGCGCCGCTGTCCGGTCAAAATTTCCCTCATAGAACACTGTAGGCCTATGACGTATGCCCGTCTTTATTAGTACAGAAAGAAAAAACGTTAAACCCCATTTCATTTCATCTTGATTATGACAGTCTCAAAATGACGTCAACTATATCGTGGATTCGGTGTGAATTTTTATAAATCTTTCGGAGTTTTGACTTTTTGATGTACGGACCAGTAAATATTCAAACTATTGAAGCAATGAATGAAATGTTGTTTTATGGTACATCAGCACCAACCAGTGATTTCTACGAGACTCCATTCCAGCAGAAGCACAACCGTTGCAAGAGTATTATATTATATTTGTATTCACAATTGAATATGCGTGATAAAAGCAATAACCAGATGATTTCCATATTACCCTTTTCTTATGTAAATACAGTCCAATTACAAGGGTTTATTATCGATAACTTTAAGATCATGATTGCATGATTAAGCACATAAAGATATTTATATGCATGCGGAATATAATAGAATCTATTATGAATGTTTTCTGTAATGACCACAACATTCATACAGTCTAAGACTTGTTCCTCGATAAACGGTAAATATTAGTTTTATAAGTAGATAGGGTTCTATGCCAAAGGGTTAATTACAGTCTATGTTAACATAGTGTTTAGTCCTTCGAGTGCCCAGAAATTCGACTCCCCAGAAATTCGAAAGGTAATGCTTATTCGGGCTGTTGTAAATACCCAAATTCCAGTGTTGGAATTTGTCTACAGAAATCCACACCAAATCCAGGACCTAGCAAATGGGGGAAAAGATTAGGGTTGTTATTTTTTTATTTTTTTTTGCCTATAATTGTATACTAAATACAATAAGTTTGTTGCCTTGTGTCTCTACCCATTTCATCCCCTAGCTGCTCGAGTGTGTAGGCCTATCTCCTCACTTGAGGTTGTCGGAACATTACAATTTATGTCGTGTTTCGGATTCAGTCAATTAGCAAGCACGAGGTCTAAAGTAGGGGATAAATACTTTTACTTTGTCTGAGTCTGGTTAATTCTACAGTATTACAACAAAGCGTTTCTTTATCTATGTCACGCCGTCATCCATTATTCCATGACATAATATCACCATGACAACCGCGATATGCATTGGATAGGTGTAGTGTTGTCTCATCTTAAATGTTGTATAAATACAATAGATTGTGCAGTCATGGTAACTTTATAAGTCGCTGCGCTATCTGCAATTTATAAGAATTTTGACATAAATGTCTGACATGACCGCGTACCCTCATAGTTTAGAACAGACTTTTAAAGACGGATAAGGAATATTTCTATAAAGTAGAATTGCAGAATTTGTTTTGAATTACTGTTCAGTTATAGGCTAGTAAGCTACTTTGTGATTATCAATCTAAATAATACATTTTTCCTCCCCTTGTCTTCCTTTCCTTGATAGGCCTAGTCTTATTATTTTTTTTTAAATTCTGCTACGCCTTTGAAGCATACATGTGAACCTGGATGAACAGATCAATGTTGTCGGGTGATCATTTATTTTGTCACTCATTCAAATTTAGTTGGGCTACTTGTACGCTAATCCATCAAGTTAGTCGTATTTATGACTTTTCTATTAATATCAGATAGTGGTTGTCTTAACCGTTATCCTGTAAAACTTTTAAGCCTACAGGTAGTAATTTGTTAAAGTATTAAATGTTACATAATCGATTCGGTAAATAATCTAAACATAAGTCACGTTTACAGCAATACTCTAAACCGAAAGCAGCTTATGGGTGAAGATAATAATTAGAAGGCATGAAATGACGTCATGGATCATTGCTCAAGCTCTGTTTAATTACGATTCTCATTAATAATACCTGTTAATTAAATCAGACGCCTTTCAGACACAAAGGCTAACGGGGACAAGCAATACTAATTATGCTTTTAGCACCAACAAACTGTAAATTTCGTTTTTTTTCCTGTTTCTTTTTTTAAAAAAAGGGGAAAAAAACCTATAATTTTGATTGATTTGACTATCAATATTCTCAAATGCATGACTTTCGCTAAAGAAGTGGAATGCGCAAGTCTCTATATGGTTGATTTTAAGATCTTAGAAAATGTAATGAAGTAAGTTACTATTCTGAAGGAACATATTCGTTCAAATTAGACATTAGATATGCCTTTGGTACTACAAATAGCAAACCTATCCAAGTGTTAAATCACACTGGATCAAGTTATGAAATCAAGATAAAATTAATCGGTGTATTAAAGATGATTGTTAACCAAAACTGTGGTTTTAGTTTCCGTTGTCTAGGAAAAAAAACCAACACTTTCTTTGGTAGCTCTAGTGCACAGACGTTGACGTTGCCCGAATAGGCTGATTGATTCTGGAAAACCAAAGCCTACGATTCGTCCAATTTTTTCAAGTCATGCAACTAATCTTTATTTCACCCCCACCAAAAATAAAAACAAACCCCCAACAATTTCTAAAATTGAAAAAAATATCGTTGATTTCTTTCTGTTTTTCTACACGAAATAATTTCATAGCAATTTTAATTAATAGTAAAGAAATATAGTAACGAAGGGCTTGGGTGGTGATTGCGTTTAATAATTGTGTCACGCCCAGGTGAAGTCATTGTCCATGACCATGACGATTTGAGTAGTAATTTATCCTAAATCCATTTTGACATTAAGAACCTATTTATAGACGGGCAACAGTACCGTCTCAATCGAATACAGATTTTAATTTTCCTGTCATTCTGTTCTTTTCATTTCACAGGGAAAAATACTCAACGATTGTGATCAGGCAACAACAGATAGTGCGTATACTAGTGTGGTTGGCTGATAGGTAAGCTACCTGGAAGTGGTGCATTATGGGTATGATTCACACGCAGACTCTCTACGCTTCAGAGTTGATAATGGCCGACGCTATATGGGTGTTGTGTGACGAGTGTTGACATATATTCAGTTTGTGACAAACTACCTGGAATTGCGAAATATTAAATGTGCATTCAACATGGATATCAAAAAATCACACAGTTTATCTCTGGATATATTATTTTTCATTATTACTGGTAAGTAAATGGAGGTTTCGAGTGTAAATCTACGATAATTTGTTGTCATTTTCTTCTCGGTCTCGACTCAGTGGTCGCTATTTGAATCGGAGCCAAGCAGTGGCCTAGATATTAACCAGTGACAGTGTACTACGAGGTGTATACAACAATATGAACTTTCGATATTTAGCATGTGAATTTATGCCTGATATAAATATTATAGATGAAAAAGAGATGGGAAAATATAGTGTTCACTAGATCTATTGTAGAATGAATAGGTTTAAAAAGAAATAAAGTTAATACCGCACCGGTATATAATTAATAATTTGTTGTAAAAACATGCCGACTGGTGAAGTCATAAATGTCACGTAGGACGGTTAGCAGTGGCTTCATATAGGGAGAGGTTTAAAAGGATATGATGGTACACTACATTCTCTGTAGTTATGGACATAACAGCCAAAATAATTGGTCGTAACAGCCAAACATTTTGGTCATGTAACGACCAAACAATATTAATTTAATGAAAAACAACATATTACCAAGCATTAACCAGAAGTGCAGGTTAAAAAAATAAAAGAAGTACCAGTAGGTGTCTAGTGCCCAATCCCAAAAGAAGTAACATTGTAACATACAGTATTTTCAAAAGAAAATGAATATGCTGTTGTACCTACTAGGCCTATATTATGTATTCAAGCAATATGTTATCTTAGCATATCAAATTAATGTTAAGCTAAAATGTACAAGGAAAGTCTGGCTTGAAAAGATTTCAGAAATAGTATTATTTATTGAATTCTGAAATCTTACCGTTAAAAAACACAACACAAGTTACATGTATATGGAAAACAATCACTGGTTTGTACACATATACATTGTAGCAAAATGTTTTGACAAGTGTCTCTTATCGATATCAAGCACAAATTATTGTTATTTTCTTCATACCACTCATGGTACCGGTACTCTAAAATCTGAGATCAACAGCGAAATATCCCATTCCACAGTCATTAAGGTTTGCATTGTCCCTTTAAGTTTCACAAATTGAGCATTTGGAGAAATATTTTGTTAACAGTTGACAAGTATATGTACCGGTGCATACACCAGAAGTTTGGCAGTTTGATTTGTGTTAAATTTACCTGATTTTTTTATAATTCAATACGATAATTTTATTCTCTTTTCAGCATTTTTTCATTTCGCCTTAGTGCAGGGTGCAACAGTAACTGCTCCAAATAAAAGTGGCATTTTAAATGAAGGATTAAATCTCACATGCACCTATAATTTAGAGAATGGAGAAACATTTAGTAGTTTAACATGGGCTAGAAAAAGAAATTCTGATATAAACTTTATTGATATAGCTAAATTTGGAAATGGTGATGCAGTTTATTATGAAGATGCTGGTGAATTAAGAAATAGGAGTAGTCTGTTAAAAGTTACCACTGGTGGTAATATTGATATTAGAACGTTAATATGTGTTGATGAGGCACAGTTCAAGTGTACATTGGAATATGCTAGTAGTGGAACACTTAGAAATCAGGAAAGCACCATGGCTGTAACTTTACAAGGTAAACACCTTGGCACTGTTCATGTATATTGTAGTAAATGTACCTTTTAATGTAAAGTCCTTCAGAAAAACAAGTACCGGTACTATAGACAGGTTATGCGATTTCATTGTCGAATGACTTAGGCACCCGTACAATATACTATAGAGAGCAAACAGCTAACTTGTGATTTGTTGTATCATAATATAGTAAAGTGGTTGATTTTTTGCCTGGACATATTTTTTATTTATTCATGTATACATGTATTTCAAACAAAAAGTAAGGTGATATGAAATAGTGTCTTACCCTTTTTATACATCTACACTGTACATGTAAATGTGGTCTATTATTGCTGGTAGACAGTGTTTTTGTAAACACTAAAAAGACTATATTTATCATCTGATCTTTTAAAATTCATACACTACATGTATGTTGTTTACATCAGTACAAATTACAGATGCACAACTGGGCATAGGGTATGAAGAGGCTGTTTTTAAATCGTAATTATCTGACATAAATGGAGCTAGAGAAAGAAAACTTAAGATTTCAACAAATTACTGTTACAAATTGTTTCTGAACTAAAAAATTGGTGTAAATGAAATACGAAGAACGTTACAAGTTTTTGGAATAACCGTTTTTATACGCCCACTCATATATTGTCGTCGCCCCCGTCGTCGGTACGGCATCTACAATTGCTTGTGGACTCTCTAGAGGCTAAAGTTAATATTCGATTGACTTTAAATTTATACACAGTGTTTAAGGTCTTGAGACGAAGAAGCCTATTGATTTTCAGCGATTTCCGTTAATTACTGCCAAAGTTATGGCCCTTGATCACTTTGAAAAATCTTGTGGACGCTCTAAAAAGGCCAAAGTTAATATCCGATTTAGCTGCTGTGGGCGTATGTTTCGTTGCCTGGCAACCTATCTTTCTGTATTTTAAAATTTGGTCAAAAGGTTTAACAAATTGTATGAATTGGTGTTTTCAAACAGCAGGGAATTCAAATTCTGAATATAATTATGTGAGTACATGTAGCACAATCTATGGTGGTATGATGGGAAAATTGTCAAGATTTTTCAAGCCCATACCCTCAGAAAGGAAAACATTTTAGGCATCAATGTATAATACCTGGGTTACTTTCTATATAAATTTTAATCTTAAACTTTTAAAGCCAGAACTTACAGTAAAAGTAGCGTGATAGTGATCACTTGCCCTCACCTCTACATGTAAGCTCAGCTGATTATAAAATGTAGGAGAAAAAACATCTCTGTATCTCAAACATGTTATAAATCAGTGATTGACAAACTGAACACTTTATAGACTGTAATTGTACCGTACATTGTTGCCTATTGGGTCACCTTCAAATTAAAATCTTTGGAGAGTGATCCTTTGCTTTTCTCATATTTTCTGATGGAAAGCTTAACATAGTACATGTATTGTTGTATTCTTGTCTAATATAAGTCTAATGATTATACTTCATTATTTAGGTCGCCCTGAAAAACCAAGTTCATTGATCCCATCAGGTGAAAATGCTGAGTATGATAAGATGACATTTGATTGTACAAGCGTTGTTGGGAAAACCCCTCTTGGAAGTATAAAGTGGGAAGGTATAAGAGGATCTATTATACAAGATTTATCTGCTGATTCTGAGGATCTCGATGATTTCTTCACTCCTGGTTCCTGTACTCAGACCTTTATTTCAAGACTTACTCGAAATGTCACTCGTAGTGATAATGGACTTGTTATTCGATGTCGAACTATTCATTCTATCTATCAAGATCCAGAAGATTACTTAGATTTATCTCCCCTGATTGTCAACTGTAAGTAAAGATAAATATTTTGATGGACATGTATACATGTAGCTAAATTTAGTTTTCATAAATAATATTACCATTTAGCTAAAAATTGAAAAAGTGTGTATGTAGGACCTTAATTTCAGACATATATCAAAACATTGATGTTCATGTTACATATTTAAATAGAAAAAGACTTTAATAATTTATTAATGCATGGTTTCTGCAAGTACATGTACATGTGTAGCCTTCTTTCTAAAACACTGTCAGAAATTAATAGAAAAATGATTTATATGCTATACCATTACGGTTCTCCTAAAATATAATATTTTCTTTTGTGAATAAATAATCATGGGCAAAGAGAACACAGTGCCCCCTAATTAGATGAATTCTGAAATCTGAAATATTGAAACTTACCTACTACTTGTTGAAGATTGTTTAATGCAGGCGAGTTGGATCATAAAGTCTGTCATTAAGTCAAGTGAGATGGTTTTGATTCCCAGCTTGTACATGTACGTAGGGTCGTCTGTCCAATTCTGTGGGTTTTCTCTGTTTCCTCTAGTTTCCTCCCACTGTTAAAGACCCTTACGTGCAAGTGAATTATTAAAATAAGATTGAACTATTATGTTTTTTTCCGAAATGACCTAGTTTGTGTCGAGTGGACATTAAGCCCTATTTTTCTCTCTCTTTGTAAAACTGTCTATTACTATTCTTACATTTTACTCAATGCACCTAACATTGTATGTGCTCCTATACTCTCTTGTTTGCAAAGTTGGCATTGTAGCAAAAGAAAGACTTTTGATCTGCCAACGATTGATTGTATCATGAGACATGTAGAATACTGACAAGCATATGACAATGTATATATCCTGTTGCCTGTATTTACAAACCCTCAAAATAACAAATATTTTTTTTTTTTTAAGTAAATTAGTTCCCTACATGTATTTTTTAAACTTTTTCTGCCATTTTAGATCCAGTTGATGATGCAAGTTTAAGTGTTTCTCAAGATCCAAATGTACCTATACATGATGTTGGTAAAAGAGTTCGTCTTGTTTGTCAGATAACTGTGGTTCCTGCTGCTACTTATAAATGGCGCCATCTCAAAACTAACCAAACCTATGACCGAGGAACTGATGGCGTTTTGGAGTTGGTAGAGGCACAGGTAGATCAAAGTGGAACATATGAATGTGAGGCTACAAATACCTACCAAAATAGGACTTTTACTGCGACTCAGACGATCGACATTAATATTCGTAAGTAATCTGAAATTCTTTTGCTTCAACCTAAGTTGTTTTCTGCCCCCCCCCCCATTAGCTAAAAAGACCTCTGTGGGGACCATCAGATGGTGGTCAGCATTGTTTAAAAATTTTTTTTACTCATTTTGGTAACAAGCAGACCTACTGTATCAAAGACATCTGCCTGACACCCTTTTAGCTCATGTTTAAATTCTAACTATAAACTTGGCTCTCTTCAAGCATCTACCCATCAACAATAATCAAATTCTTGTTCTATACTTTTTTAAAACACTGATTAAAAAACGTTGAATATTGTGACATGGATGTGATTGATGTGTAAAATGACCCAAAAGAGGTATTTTAGTTAATTTTAGCCTAATATTACTCAAAGTATGGTCGACTTGATGTCCACTGAACACAGAATTTACAATGATTATCGCATATAATTTCTTAAATTTGTATCTTGTTTGTTGTTCTAGTATATTATGATATTTTAGACCTGATTACCATATTAATCATATTATTCTATACTTATCTATAATAATTCCCATATTAACGACCTTAATATACCATCAATTTAATTATTAACAATCATGCAATGAAGAATATTGGTTGCAAAATGTTCAAATAGCATTGATCTGATATCTGTCTACTGTTATGTTTTTTGAAAATCTTTAATGACAAATGCATTGCTGAACAGTATGTTGTTATATTCAAATTTGTTCAAAATTTATCATGGCCAGTAGTAAACTGGAAGTTATCAAATATTATTAATAATTATTTTCAAATCTGAGAAATAGAGAAGACGTTTAGCAATGTTTAAGTGGTTTTTATTTTGAAGTAATTTGGACCAAACATTATTATATTCTATACTAAAGATGCGTTATGTAAGATTTAAAGTGCTTGTTGTTCTAAGTTTTATAGTTCAAAAATAGAAAATGAAAAATAAATATATTACTTTAGTGTATCTTTATGCTGAGTCAAGTTATGAATTTTATAAGTTTTGACAAGAGATACCGTGAATAGTCTCAGTTGTCAAGTACAAGTACCATTGCTACAAAGTCTTCATTTTTCATTTCCACATTTAACGAAGATGGCAGATATTGTCTAATCCACTTAATCTCAGTTGATTATAGGCTTGTCATGTGAATAAATGTCTACGTAAATAATAATTTATAATAATAACATTTGAAGCCATAAAAAAGACCTGCAATAAGCAGATTTAGCTTTTACATAATGCATCTTTAAGAACTTTTTGCAACGATACAGTAGACTGCATGACTGACAGTTGTCTGATTATATATACTGATGATTTGCATGTTTTTCCCCCCAGAAATACCTTCGACTGCTTCACCTACTGATGTCCCCGAAAATACTTCTCCTTCAAATACCGGTAGTGGTAATGGAAACACGGATAAAACCACTAGTACTCCGGGTAAGACTAAACTTTAAAGATTTATTTTCAGTTCTAATCTTCAATTCATAACAAGAGCACTCTTATCATCACTGATAAGCGAGAGAGATCTTGACATACTGTTCTTGAATTTTAGGATGTTTTCAATACAATTTATTTGTAATCAGTTTCTTTAGTTTGTAGTTTCGTGAGACTTGTGTGCTTTACAAACCAAAATGGCCAACACAGCGAGTCATGATTGTTACAGGGTGTCAACATTAATCAGGTTTCGCCATGGTTATAAATTTTTGGTCAGTTTTGCAAACTGAAAAGCTTACGTTTGTTTGAATCAATCGAAAGGTTGTTTATTAGCTTAAAACAGAAACCATTTTCCTTCTAATAACTGAAACCTAGATTGTAAAGATAAGCAAAATTGCCTAAACTACAGCATCTACTTCTGTGCACAGGTGTAATGTATATTTATTATAAATTGTCTCCAGTTATTTAAAGTAACTGTGCATGATTTGTACTCAGATTGATTAATTAACATTTAATTAGGAAAACATTAAAAATATCAAGACTAGATAATCTCTATCCTTGGATTCAATCGTATTAAAAACAGGCCCATTAATTAAATTTCACAAAACATAAAGATGGTGGTGTCCCATTTACATACAGAGCAGCATAGATCAGTGGAATTTCAGTTCATCTTATTTATAAATATTGAATGGAACTGAACTATTTTTTGACTGATATTCGTAATAGAGATTTGACTTTTACAGTATTGTAGTTTCCACAAGATTCCTATATTGTTCAAATGGCACTCAGGGACTTTAAAACATCTCATTTTTATACTTACAAATATATTAAAGTCATTGGATCAGCATGTTTAATATTCACATTGAACTGAACAATGTTAAAATTTTATAGTTGGAATGTTTGTTAAAGTGTGTAATATTTAACTTAAATTTGACAGTTTTACTAAAAAAACAAACTGAAATATGAAACTTTAAAAATAAGCATGTTGTAGAGGTTGGCATACATATACATTGTAACATTTAGTATGCATGACACCTCTTCTTATATGCTTTTAAAATTTATGGTTTAGATTTTGCTAGTCTAGAATTTTGAGTACAAATTCTCACAGATTTAAATATCTGAATTCTGAATCTTTGCAAAATATTTAAAAGGGGAGCAAAAACACCAAGTTGTATTCTAGACGTTTTACTGTCCTTTTACACCAAGTATCAACAATTTGTGATAAAGTTGCTAGAAATATTCACTTTCTTCCCTCTTAGGGTGTTTGAAACTGCTAGTACAGTATAAAATATAAACATATGTGAGTCACAGACTTGTTTGATAAGTCACATCAGAATTTGGCCAGAGGGTTGGTATTTGTCAGCTTAAGATTTCAGGCTGAACACAAAGAAAATATCCAGAAGATTTGTGTACTTAATTAATAATTAAGTAATTATTATTGAATGTTTTTTTTAATGGTAATAACCATTAGAATATATTAAATTCCTTTGAATCACATATAAGCTCTCCACCCTCCACTGCCACTAAGATCCACTGCGGCAGATCATAAATTTGTATTTAATTAAGAACCCTCCACCCCCCAATTACCTACTTGGCTGCATGATTAGAGTTTACTCAATACTTATGGGTGACACTGGTACCGGCATCTATCATTTTGAAATTCAACTTTCATAATGTTGTGGTTTGCATGGGATTCAAAAACTCTGAAATGACTCTCTGAAACCCACCGATTTAATAACATTTATGGGCATTTCAATAAAGCGTGAATCTTACAGATCAGGTTTCTTCGAGGCCATCTTCTAAGGATCTCGCAGGGCTGTAAACAGAACCAATGTTGGTTCTTGTGAAAAATCAATCAATATTTTCATCCTATTTTCAGAATTGTGTGAATATTTATATTTTTTTATGTTTCAGACGATGATAATACAGTACTGATTATTATTATTTGTGTTGTGGTAGCTGTTGTTGTCCTCATTGCCATTATTATTTTCATAATAGTCAAAAAGAAAAAAAGTCCAAATAAACAACAAAGAATAGAAGGTATGTTTATCATTAAACTAATTTTGTATTTATTTCATTTTTCAGGTTTTGCGATATTATCCTGCCTTGTCCCCATTTTTATGGTGAAAAATATAACAAAAGTCAAGTGTTAAATTTGAATATGTCAAGAGGGCATTGACTCCAAGGAGTTTAGTTTTAAGACATGAGTCATTTTTGTCCTATGTTTAAATAAACATCAAGGAGATTATAGTGCACCCTTACAGCTTTATCAGCTTCATTCATCATGTACAATTGCAATTATCTTCTGTTCTTGTACTAAATGTAAAGGTACATCTGATATGGTGTTCAGAACATGGACAATCAAATTTTGTATATATTGAGCATTGGCACTTATCATAAACATTTTTGCCCAAAATTATTTGTATATTTTATCTAATAGTAAATAATAGGCTTGTTTGTTTTATTTTTAGAAGAATGTATTTAATTGAATTTAATGTTTATTGTTAATATCTTGTTGATTTTTCAGAACCTCCAGAAAAAGCATACAAGTAAGTTGTTCAGTGTTAACATAGGTCAACATAGTTAGTTGTTGTATCCATGACATATATAGGTTTGACTAAAATTTTGAAACAGCAAATATATGACAAGTCTAGGACTTTCAGATGATTCACTACAGTAGTAAGGATTAAACTTGGAAAGCAAAGAATAGATGTATCTTCTTATTAATGTTTTACTTCAAATTATTTGTTTTTATTTCACACTATTCAACAACTTGATAAAATAGAATTTCAGAATGTTTGTCTTATTGTATTATTTTTTTTTTTTTTTCTGTAGCAACAATCCAGCAATAAACAGTTATGCAAACCAACCAGATTTAGTTGGTGATGACAAGAAAAAGAATTATCAAAATTCGTTTAGCAGCAGTCCTTATAATTCAAATCCTTATTCCCCAACTAACTATCCAGCACATAATACTGTAAGTATATAATCTTTAAGAGGCATTTAGTAACTGGGTAGAGCAATACACAAAAACACATACTTATGGAAAAACAGCTACTTATTTATTTGGGCGACGTTTCGAAGAGTATTATTACACACATATTACACATATGGGTTACTCTAGTCTAATTGTACATTTAATCACTAGACATATAAAGTTAATTACCATTATCTAAACAAACCATGGTATATCATAATTGTATTGTAGGTACTATCCCATTCTGCCGGTAGTATTGTATCTATCATCATAGCTACCTAATTGCTTAACTATACTCAATGGCTACTCTTCACACTTAATTAGTTTTTGTAGAATAAACCCCTTTGATCTTGTTGTTGTCCTGTATGGTTTCATGAATTGTTGTTACAGTTTTCTGTATATATTGATCTCATTATTCTTGTATTACTGTATTAGCTTGATAACGTTGAGAGAATACTCTTCGAAACGTCGCCCAAATAAATAAGTAGCTGTTTTTCCATAAGTATGTGTTTTTGTGTATTGTAAGTATATAGATCTTTTACTCAATATTTGTTAGACTGATTTCCCCTTGATAGATAATAATATTTATTGTTGTTTTGATGTGTCTCATGACAGAATAAAGTGGAATTCATTTTGTGAAATGGAAAAACATCATCGTCTGAATGAATAATTTGTGTATCATGATATTTGGCTGTTATGATACACAGCTGTATTGGGTTTCTTGATATTGTGCTGTTCTGATACACAGGAAGATTGTGAATTTGAATTATGTTGCAGTGATACACTGATATTTTGTAATGTGCAGTGACTGATACATTGTGTATCTAGATACATACAATGGATGACACAGTAAGCTTATGGTATTCCTCATTGTATTCTACTTAAGACATGTTATCTTAATGATACACAATATTAGTCCGGTGGCTGAATGGGGGGAATCGCCACCCGAGCTGTGAATTTATGAGACCAAGTTTTTCTAGACCAGTTTTTTGCGTAGATTCCGAATCTGGGTGGTGATCAGGCGTTTGAGGGGGCGTTTTCGAGATATGGGGGTCAAATGTCTACAATGGGGGGGGGGGGTCATTATGTTGACGTAATATATTAATAAAACATAAATTTCCAAGACTGCCCATCTATAAATAAGTGTTTATGATGCTCCTGGACAACTGTTTTGATTTGTGGGGAGTTGGGGTGGGGACAGCAGGTAGGTGTGTGTGTGGGGGTTATTATGTTGACATAATATATTAATAAAACATAAATTTCTAGGGCTGCCCATTTTTAAATAAGTGTTTATGATGCCCCTGGACAGCTATTTTGATTTGTGTGGAGGTGGGGTGGGGGTAGCAGGTGTGCGGGTATGGATGGGGGGGGGGGGGTACAATTGGCGTGATAATTTCTTAGAGCTTGGTAAAAACATTATTTTTAATTCCACTGCACATCTCTAAAAATGTGTATACGATTACCGTTGTATAGGGGAGGGTAAATGTATTTTGGGGGACAGAAACCACTTGGTTCAAAATTGACCTGAAAAGTGTTTTCTCGAGTTTTCGTTCAGTGCCAATATCGTCATTAAAAATATTAAATTTTAATGGTACTTTTCGAAAGATCAGGAAATTTACATAAAAAACACATGTTTAGATATTAGTTTATTCTTATAATATGTGCGGGATAGATATCCTCTTGATGGCTGATCAACAGCCTGCGTATATGCTTTGGATATGCTTCAGATACCCATTCATCTTGTTCGATCATTAATTTTGCAACCTGTCTCCATATTGCTGCAACATAATTATTGCGTTTAATGTGCAGCAAAAAACTACTCGGGCAAGATGGTAATAAAGAAAGAAAGTTTTGTTATTTTTCATCACAATTAAAATTTCTCCAGAAGATCTTTCTTCTAGTGTCATCTACAAACAGTTTTTTCTAAACCAGCAATTACGTCATCAGAAGCATCATTTGTCTATCCCAGCTCTTAAAAAATTGTTAGAAAGTTGGGATTATCTTGAAAAATAAAGACAGATAGTCATTACCACTGAAAGCATGTACCGTAGGCCGAGATATTCTCGACATTTTCAATACTAATCTTGATTGGATCAAAAAATATCAAGATTAGTATTGAAAGTGTCGAGAATATCCTAGAACTGATACCAAAATATCTTACCTACTCCTCTTCGCATTGCAAATTAATGGAGGTGCTGAAAAAAATTGTATTTTGCATTCTTGCTCGGGCAAAATAGACATCCCAATCATTCTCTTCGCAAACGATGATCCAAATATACAAATTTTGATCGATAATGAGACGGGCAAAGGTAGAAAAATATCGCGAAAGACGACTTACATCACTAGATGACGCTAGAAAAAAGATTTTCTGGGTGAAAAAATAACAGACCTTTCTTTATTACCACCTTGCCGTATACGTGGTCTTTTGTTGCATGACTGGAATGAAGATTTACAATGTGAATTGCTTCCTGAAGCATATCCAAAGGATATGCGAGCTGTTGGCCAGCAACCAAGAAAGTATTTGTCTCGCTCATATGAACTTTTGATTTTGAATCTTCTGATGAAGACTAAGAATAAACTAACAACTAAACATATTTCTGAGTTAATGTGTTTTTGATTTACATTTCCAGATCTCTTGAAAAGTACCATTATAATTTAATATTTTGAACGAAAACGCTAACGAGATACAACTTTAAACTCAGTTATGAACAAAATGAGTTCTGTCCACAAAAACACATGTTGCCACCCGCCATCACCCGCACCGCCCTCCCCCCCACGGCGAGCACTAACCCCGGCGTCACCCCCATATAATAGGAATCATATAAACATATTTAGAGATGTTTCATCAAGCTCTTAGAAAATCATCATATCAACGTGAACTCATTTCCCCGCCAATTTTATCCCCACCCCACCCCTCCACACCTGCTACCCCCACCCCACCTTCCCATAAATCAAAATAGTTGTCCAGGGGCATCGTAAGGACTTATTTATAGATGGTCAGTTAGAGAAATTTATGTTTTATTAATATATTAGGTCAACATAATGGCCTCTCCCCTCCCCCACCTTTGTAGACATTTTACCCCCTATATCTCGAAAATGCCCCCTCAATCGCCTGATCACAACCCAGATTCGGAATCATTTTCTGATATTGTAATGTTTAATCTTTTTCTATCATCTTGACATTGATTATCAAAAGCAATTCACAAAATTGAAGGTGGAGATTTATCCAAAATGATCAACAGCCCTTTAATGTTTGTATCCTGTATTATTAGTAATGTTGACAATGTTTTTATTTTCCAGTCTTTTTCCATGAAGAGTGATGATCTATCATATGGAGAAATGAATTTTGATGATCGACCAAGAAGTCGAAAACCAGTGGCGCTGTCTGATGCTGATTATGCCGACATTTCAATGCCACATGTGTAACATTAAAGACAAATTGAAAACAGGGATGTACCAAAAAGCATTCTTAAGGCCTTTGAGAGATGAACAAAATGTTTTTTGCATTCTTTTGCAGAAAAATGTACTTTGGAATATATGTAGAAGGCCAACATTTACCATAGAATTTGGATTCTTATATTGTGTGAATATTTTGTAATTAAATGACTAATTCACGTGGAAGAACCAGAATCATTTATATAGTGCTGTGTTTATACAACCAATCAATTTATGTGTGTTACATGTATATATTTGTGTGTGTATGATGTCAGCATTTCATGTGGACAAAATGGAAGACCATTCAGATAATGTAGATTGGAATATATATCGAAAAATAAGAAGCAGGTTTGCCCGGATCTTCTTAGTCTTTTTAACAAAAGTGCAAAAGTGGCTAGAGTGTGAAATATCGTGTAAACAAAGAGAAACCTGCACAGACAATGGAAAAGGAATTAAGAATTTGTGCTTAATAAAAACAGTGGATATTATACTGATCTACATAGACAATGTAATTGTTACTATGGCCAAATTCATCTATGTTTATTGTAATATATATGTACTATATATTTCAATATAACTTTCATATATTCATATCATAAAGATATCAGATATATTTAGTAAGCTTTGTTATAGTAAACAAATAATTAGATGAATTACTTACTTATAACACAATGTACATTTCAATCTGCCATTTTGGTTTTAAATAAAGCCATTTACAGAAATTGGGATTTCGGTAAATAGATGAGCATTTAAATACTGAAACATAGTTTTCTAAATAGTATTGTTGGTACATTTCATGAACTTAGTGTGGAATCATCCATGGTGGTGCCTGAAATTAATCATGCTGTTGTTAGAAAATCTTTCAAATTGTACTATAGATGGGATTACACACATTAAAGGCGATCATTGAATAACATACATGTATTAATAATAGTGCCATGGTCTACAAAATCAAACACATCATTTATTATTAATGTCATTGTATATTTATCATACGGTATATACAGTAAATCATATATGTTCATATTGTGCAGCTGATACCCTGTATATATAAGTGTAGCTCTTTTCTCAGTGGTGAATATACATGTACATTTTTACTATCGTATCAATCACTAGAAATTTTGGATAATCATGATTTCAGATATTCAAATCAGTCTTTGATAAGACATTAGCTGGAATCGGATGTACATGTATATCCCTATTATAGTAGTACCGGTAGATGTAGTAGCAGTTTATGGTGATTGACAGAATGGCCTCTTTCAGCATTATATTTAAGCCCCTTGAGGAGATCAAACATAAAAGCAGACACTAAACCGCCAAGAGATATATTGTCTGTAATATCACTAGATGTTAAAGCATCAGCTACTACTACAATGTACTATCAAGAGATAGATCAAACATAAATCTTGCCTAGCCCAGTAGGTGCAGAACAATAGGATGTTTAAACCCCATTTCATTTTCAAACATAAATGTCTGGCAAAAAATGTGGGAGCTAGATCCCGACATTATTGTGAAGGCCACCTATTGTAGCCTACTGTGTAGTTTATTTTACCATTTTATTCGGTAGGTAGGATTTGTCTCGAAGACTCGTATTGGCCTACATACATATATTTATAAAATTTACTATTAAATGATCATGAAATCAATTCCTTATAACATTCATTTTGAAATAATTTTTTTCTTTTTATTGTACGTTTACAACTAAATTTATTTTAGGAAAACATCATATGTAGTAATCTATTAAAGTCAAATGATATTTTCAAATTTACAACTTTATGCTTTGTTGAGATGTAGAAGCAAAAATAGGAGAAATATTTTATTTCTTTAAATGCTCATAGACAAAATTATATTTATTAGGAAAAAAGCTCAGTTTTTATTAAATAAAGAGCTCAATAAATTCACAGAAACCAATTTTTGTAGCCATTTTGCTCAAATTATATACCTTTATAAAAAGAATAGAGTAAAATTGTTCCTCAATGGTGTTGTAAATGTTCACAATTCAATTTATCTAAGGCTGCACAGTTTTATAGAATTTCCTGGATAATGACAATTAAACTCGCCCCAGACAGAAAATGAATTATGCAAATTTTATGACTTCAATTCAGCAAAAGATCGATCTACTATTTATTTGGGATGTTTAAACGAATATTTGTATATAAAATTAACATGAATTGTATTTATCAGCATTCCGTGTTAAATATTGTGAAATTTTATTCAGAGAATTCTAAATGAATTATCAGATATCATTACCATATGCTTAGAAATTCTGTAGGATAGAAATGCTTCATATTTCTTTTGTTCTGAGTGATTCGTTTTTTCTTTTCATGTTTTTGTGTTAATCTTTTTGTTTATTTTGTTGAAATAAGATATTTTAACAGGTACACAAACATAGTACTATCTTAAAGCTCTAAATAAATATATATAATTTTTTATGTAATATAGATTGTACATATTTGCTAGATATATAATTATATAAGCTATAAATAATAGCCAAATTTGTAAATGCTTTAGATCATCTTTAGTTGCCCAATATTTCTCCCTTCTAATATATTTTCTTCCTTTTTTTTATTGTATCTGTTTTTGCTTTTGCCAAAGAAAAGTTTATTTTCAAATTGAATTAGGAATAATGAAGCTCTTGATCTCAATTTTCTTATTTCACTGCAAAACAAATGGATACAATTTATAGTACCATGTATGTACTAGTATGCATATATCCATATTTTGGATTTAATTACACTTGAAAGAAATAATGAATTCATATTTGTTGTGTGTATTGATCATTAACCATTGTTGTCAAGTTTTACACAAACTTAAGAGTATTCTTTGGACCTTAGGAGTAATTAGAACTTAAAAAACACACACTTACAGAATTTAAACTTGTACAGAATTACATAATTCAAACTAATAATATATACCGGTACATTAATGCAATTAAATCGCATTAATAACGTACATGTAAATGAAATATAGAAAGTTTTTATAAACAATATCGAAATTATGTTATAATTTATCTTGTTACTAAAGAGTAATACAAATTTGTTAAATATTTCAATTTTATTATAATATTTAAAAAAAATGTTAAAGTCATTGGTGGTGTAATGATTAATCCTGAGTTAAACCTCCCATTAGGTTGTTCCATTTTTTTCGTCCATGTAACTATGAAACCATGTAATTTCAGGTGGTTGTTATAGTTTATAACAAAACTATAACAAAAACAAAATGACATATCAGAAATAGTTGTGAAGTGCCTACTGAAGTGTAGCCATTGATTTGGCTTTCTTGAAATCGTCCATTATTGAGAATTATTCTTTCACATATCATGACGTCCACCTTGAAGTAAAAAAAAAACCTTTTATGAAAGTAAATTGTAAATGCCTTTATATATAAATCATTATATTTTGTTGAAATGTATACTATATCTTAATATTTTTTAATTAACTGTTGTTCCTTGGCATGTCTGATTATTTCAATAATAAATAAGAAAAATTATATAAATTCTTTTTTTTTTTATGGGTTGGGTGGTTGAGTCAAGTGGCATGGTTTTGATTCCTTGCTTGTACGTGACAAGGTGTAGTGTTGCCTGTCCAACCTAATGGGTTTTCTTCAGTTTCCTCCCACTGCTAAATACCCATACACGAATACAGATTATTGAAATAGAATTGAAATATGTGTTAGGCTTGAAATGACCTAGTTTCTCTCTCTGGGTGGAGCCACGGTGGCTAGGTGGGTAAGGCGCTGGCTCGCTAGCCTGGAGGTCGGGTGTTCGATCCCTGCATTGGCCGAGAAGGTTCATCCCGATTTTCCGACGTGGTTTCCCCTTGTCAATGATGCAGGACGGAGGGCCTGACAAGGACAGCTGTCTAGTTCTTCGGATGAGACGAAAAACCGAGGTCTCGTGTAAACATTGGAATGCACGTAAAAGATCCCTTGGCAGTTGGAATTCGATATAAGAGTAGGTGATAGTGCCGCTGCCCGGGCAAAATTTCCCTCATAGCACACTGTATGGCGTATGCCCGTCTTCATTAGCCCAGTATAGGAGCAGAACAGTAGGACGTTAAACCCCATTACACACTTTAACATATGATCATATGTTAGTCTCAGAATAACAGTATTGTGTTGACAAGGTGTTAAAACTTATCTACTTTTTAAGTGTTAATAGACAGACAGGGGATTTCACAATGGCAGTGGTATTTCAGCCTCAAAGCAGTTATATTTGTCTTGACATTACGAGTATATCTAACTCCTAAACAGTTTCCTACATGTACATGTACCTATTGTACTTGAACTACTGATGTCTATAACTTTGAGGGTTGTTATTGTGCCAGAACCCATGACAGGTGAAATTTGATAAGTGGGCAGAAACACTGCTATCCATACGTAATTTCCCTTGTATCACACTGAATGGCGTATGCCCGTTTTTATTAGTCTGATTATTGTAAGAAAATAGGATGTTAAACCCAATTGTATTTCTTTATTTATCTCAACGTACATGAATGTTCACTGTAATAGACAATTATCCTGTCCGGTAAATTCAAGTAACCAACAACTCTGGAATCACCATAACGTTTAAATTTGTTGTCATTTTGTGGGTTGTTTTTTTGCGTCTGTGTTATGCTGTATAGTTTTACTGCGTTGTCTATTTAGTAATATATTTTTAATTACTGATCACAGTGTATGATGACTTTAATAGATTGACTATTCCGATCACTAGCTGTAAGAAAAGCTTTCTCTGTTTCAAGTAAAGTAAAATGATGTGATATCAATGGGTTAACATCTAGGGCTCCACTGGCAATTAAATCTAAAGCAATCGGGTAACTGAAATAGAAATATTAGATATAATCTTCAGACGATGTTAATGTTTAGTAATTGCCTGGATAACCACCTATGCCAAAGTTATAGGGGTAAGCGATAATCACAATTAACAAGTCACTCATACAGCAAAAGAATGAAATCATTAAAATAATTACCTACTCACAAATCTAGCCATCATTTTCAACCGATGTCATATTTTGATTTGAAAAGGCAGAAAACATTGATCAAACAAGGAATTTTTTTTTTTTAAATATTGAGTTTAGAAAAATTGCAGTCCTTTCTTTCTTGCTGTGAGTAAATTTATTTACCAATTAGCATATCTGAATATACCCAGTAAATCCACTTCATTGGCATTTAAACGAGTTAAAGGTAACTCAACTTTAGGAGAACCGCCCCCTACTCGCACCACTTTTCCTCCCGGTCGAGTCACCTGTTAAATATAAATAAATAAAATAGTAGCAGCTACAGAACATAATAACACATAAATTTAATTGCAAACAGTGGAGTTCGTATTATACACCCCCCCCCCCCCACATAAGCACTCATCGATGACTCATAAACTAAAAAAATTGAATTGCAAAATGACACGACTTTTGTGGATTAGAAAATGTTTCACAAAATATGGAAATAACACAGGACAGTGCAAGGGAGATAACTCTCTTGAAAAACCTTGGGTAGGAAAAAATCAAATTTTTTGTCCGACTATGGAGATAGTTGACAACACACAGAAAATCGTAATTATTGAAGAAATGAAAAGTGTCACAAGACAAATCTACGGTACCTGAATTCCTAGAATAAAACTGGAATCAACTCCACTACAATCTAATGTCACGTCTGGTTCACCTAAAATGCTGCCAACTTTTCTCGCCACCACATCACCGTCTTTATCCACTATTTTAAAAATGTGATCAGCCCCCATTTTCTTAGCGAAATTAAGTCTATGCTCATCTATATCTAACAATTGGAAAAAAAAGAAATCAGTCTGAAGAAAATTTTAGATTAGGATCTCAAGTTGTTCAACCATATTTTAAACTCATTTCTGTACTGAAAAAAAATGGAAACGCGGGAGAATTCGTTTTTACAGCGTCTGGTCTGTTTGACCTCGTAGGGGTCATTCTGTTGCCTCCCATTGCTAAAGACCCCGATCTAGTCCAGAAACGTTAAACTCTCTCTCTCTCTCTCTCTCTCTCTCTCTCTCTCTCTCTCTCCCAAAACAATGTAAAGTTTATATTTTGTCTACCTGTAATCATTATGTTTGTAGCACCGGCATTTTTGGCTACCATCATCGTCAACAAACCAATAGGACCTGTAATATACAAAACTATTGACCAAGCAGGAAAGAAAAAAAAATAGTCGGTCGCAAAATAAATGCAATCGGTCGCAAAATTATGCATCTGCCACTAAATAAATTACCGTAATGAGCTAAACAAAAATGCCAAAATAGAAGGGAAAATCCCAATCTGCTTAAAACACACGATCCTATTTTCAAGTCAGTTGATTGCAGTTTCATCATTTTGGAGAGTTCCAGACTCACAACATGAGATACCTTTAAGAGATATTATGATCTTAACCACAAACACTAACCCTGCAACTTCACTCTACAACCTCCAGTCACATTAATTATCAAACCAGGCGGGCGCTTGAGGACAGATAATCTTACCCAATAAACCTAACCCAAAAAAACAACATACCTGCACCACACACTAGAACCGTTGATCCTAAATCAATCTCCGCTCTTTGACAACTATAAACAGCCACAGACAGAGGTTCTAACATGGCCCCTTCATCTAACGATACATGATCAGGTAATCTGAAAATTAATTTGTATTTGAATATCTAATATCAAATGTCTGTTTGTGTAGGACTACAGAACCAGGTGAAAATTGCCGATAGAAAATCTATGTTTGTGACCGATAGATACGATAAATTATCGCGTTTTCACTGAGACGGGCCAAGGCTCCGACAGGTCGTAGGCAGCTCGACCAGCAAGGCCGTTTACGAAACTAGGCCTCTGTAAACCAGTGCTGGTCAATCACATATATTATTACATTACTCTATCGTTCATTTGGAGCGCGATCGCACCACACTGATCAGCAGTGAATTTTCGCTAGGCCGCTACAATCACTGATAAGGATGACATCGATGCGACTCAATGAGTCCCAAATATTAACTTTTTTCTTCCGTTAAATTAAATTCTAAAACATTTTTTTTTTCATTTATTAGAAAAATAAATAAAGACGTTTGAATTGTTTGTAGGTAAAAATAATTTCCTATTTAGTGTAAATGGGTATTAAAATAAGTAAAATTCACCATTTAGCCCGAATCAGTAACGTCTTATGTAAACAATGCACGCGCTATTGAGCCAATGATTGGCGCCGCGTGATGTGACGTCACTTGTCGAAACAGTCATCTGTAACAGAGATATTAAAAGATCTCTGTGAAACAGATTGCGATCGCACGTGCCATTTTCCGCAGTGCATTGTCGATTACAACAAAGTGACGTTCGTGAAGAAAATATGTAACCCATTTATTTTTAAATGGTCGTTAAAGATGCATTATATAAGAGCTAAATCTGCCTAATGCAGATCTTTAGTTTGACCTTATATAAATAATTAATTAGAGATTTGTTCACATGCCAAGCTTATAATCAACTCTCTAGGTCATCGGATGGTATTGATTTTCAACGGATTTAAACAAGTAATCAATTAATAAAAAATTGGATAAACGAGACTTTGTTTATTATCGTAACTTGTAACAAGGGTAGCAATGACAATCGGGTTTACACTGTTCTTCAAACAACTCCATCTCCGCCCAGAATGAAGTAATTTCACTCCATTTTCAACATAGACTATTTTCTTGTCATTATCTATACTCAGCCAAATTAAAAACTTGACACTGATGAATTTCAACAAATTTTTTTTTCTGGTAAGTCAAATAAATTTTAAAGTGTTTCTAACGATAGTAAGTAGTAAGAAGCCTTTAATTTCATAAAATTGTAAAGTCACGTGGATCACGTGACTTTTGAGCATATAAAGATGAAAAACCTGAAAAACACGTGTAAACACAAACTCGTGAGGTCAATCGATGCAAGTTTGCTTAAACTGAACACGCACACGTAACTTGAACTGGAAAAACAAATTAAAATTGTTATTTTCATCTTTGTAAGATAATGCCGCGCCTTTCAAATGTAGTAGAACGTCTACGTGCTATAGGTAGGCTCTATGCTGGTCAGTCTGTGGTCACTGTTGCAAGAGCCTTTAATTGTTCACGCCAGACAATAATTAATCTTAGAATGAGAGTGCTTCAAACTGGAACTATTGCCGACCGCCCAAGGGCGGAAGCGCCACGTGTGACGTCACTCCAGGAAGATCAAGCAATACGATTACGTCATCTTAGAAACAGATTTGTCACTGCAACCTCCACAAGTAGAGAGATGTTTGGTGGAAGGGTAACTGCACAAACTGTTCGAAATCGCTTGCAGGCTGCTGGTCTTCGAGCTCGGAGGCAGTGGCGGATTAAGCTCCACTAAGGCCTGAGGCGACAGTTGCTGGAGGGCCTATTTAGTTTTTAAAGTTAGAGCCAAGGTAGTTGCTAACATTAAAAACGTAATGTAACTTTATATGCCCATAAATGACGTCACGTGGATACAATATATTAAGCAAGACATAACCGAAAACTTACAAGGATTTAACGTACATTGTAGGCCTACGTTTAAAAAATAAGATCAGATCTCCAAACAATAGGGCCTATTTAAAATGGCGTGGGCCTAATTAATTTCGGGTCAGGGCCTATGTTGATTCCCGTTGGGCCTAAACCCCACCCCCCTAACATTCATTGTCTATGCGTTTTTAATCGTATCAGACAAGTCTAAAAAATATTTTTTTACAAAATCTTTCGGCCTGAGGCTGCAGCCTCATCAGCCTCACTGATAATCCGCTACTGCTCGGAGGCCTTATAATGGATCAACATTGACACCTCTTCATCGCCGTAACCGACTTGTGTGGGCCACAAGACACATAAGATTTACTCAAAGACAGTGGAATTCGGTTGTCTTTAGTGACGAATCTCGATTCACTTTGAGATTTGCCGATGGCAGGGCCTGAGTGTACCGCAGACGAGGTGAACGTTACGCTCAAGTATGCGTCAGAGAAGTTGACCGATTTGGTGGCGGCAGCGTCATGGTTTGGGGTTCTTTTTGTGTACATGGACGTTCTCCTCTTGTTGTTGTCCAAGGGAACTTAAATGCTGTCCAGTACAGGGATCAGATTTTGCAACCTGTTCTTCTTCCGTTTATGCAGAGACATGGGCCTGGACTAACGTTTCAACAAGACAATGCTCGACACCATACAGCAATTGCTACCCAGAATTTTTTAAGAAATGCCGGTGTCCAAGTCCTGGGTAGTGTTTACTAATGTTCTGAGATCCATGAGAAGACGTTGTGTGGCAGTACGAGACGCTAGAGGAGGCCACAACCGTTACTAAACACTTTATTCCGATTGTTCTCCAAGTCTGTGAATTTCATTTTGGGGGGTACTGTGACATCACGAACGTTATCAATGTCAAGGACTTTCGGCGAGACGTATTCTTGCTTTCTGTTGATGTCAAGGTCGTCTGTGCACAACATAACACTAAAATAGTTGCCTTAAACCAATTAAAAATCTAGTCCCAAAAATCCCGAGTGTCAAGTTTTTAATTTGGCTTAGTATATATTTTAGCTATTATAGCAAGAACTGCCAGCCCTTTATCTAAATCTTACATTATGCATCTTTAAATCTTAAGGCCGATTTGTGGCTTGGGTCGTCGGCATATAAGATAATTATTGTCACTCTGCTTGTTTTTGATTCACCCTTCAAAGCAAAAGGTTTATCTTTCAATTTTTTTTAAAGAGTTTTATTTCAAGCGAAATATAATAAGTTCTTTTCTTAGTCAATTTGTAGAATCACTTACTTGAAACAGAAATCAGCAGGGTGTTTATATAAACGACATAAATTACCATCTATAGGGGGCGTTGCACAAAATTCTACATCCGGGCACAGATTATATCGTCCTTTCTTACACAACTTACAACTCCTACAGGGTATACCTGGTTCTATCGCTACACGATCTCCTACAAATGAAAATAGTACGAAAACAGCTTCTAGATGGAATTTAGTCAGAGCAGCGACAAAATATTGAGTCACAAGACAAGTGTTAAAATTGCCAGAATCACTTTTTATCCTTCTGTTTAGAAGATGGGGAAGTTGGTCCCTGTCCCTTTCTTATGATTCTAGTTTTTATACGAATGTTTTATTGAGAGACAGAAATGGGGTTTAACGTCCAGTCGGGACTAACATATAGTTCAACTTTATTTCAATAATTCGCTTGCGCGTAAGTGTCTTTAGCAGTGGAAGAAAACCGGATCACCTGGACAAAACCCACGAGTTGGGATAGGCGACAGCTACTCCTTGCCACGTACTTGACTCAATGACAGACCTTATGATCTAACACGCACCCCAACCCCTTGTTTTATAGAGAATTGATTCCAAACTTCTATGGGTATGCAGTCTAGATGATAAGTCTGTCTAGACACCCATACGTAAACCATTTGGCCATCCCTCGAAAACCGCCATGTTTTATAAAAAAGTCGATTCCAAACTTATGTGGGTATGCAGTAAGTCTGTCAAGGCATCCACACTTTGCCCACTTGGCTTATAAAAGATAATGACAATGTTTTATGGTACTCTGGCATGACAAGTATAACGAAACCCTTCCAAAATTCAGTACTTTTTAGATTAATTGATTCGATAGATCAACAAAGTTTAAAACTAACCTTCTTTCAGATGAGTTACTTTAGAACCGACCCCTACGACTACACCACTGGCTTCATGACCTAACACCATTGGTTCTTTGACAACAAACTTTCCGCATTTTCCTAATGCCCAATATTTTATATCTGAGCCACAGATACCAACAGATCCCATAGATATCAGAACATCTTTAAAATAAAACATGATATCAATAATTGATAGTGACGTAGTTCAGCAAACATTTGAGGTGGGCTGTTCTTTCCGTCCTCGATTGATCACTATATATATCCCGCTTATATGTTTTCCCGGGAAAATCACGAAAAATCCAAGAATTGTCAAAGTGTATCTTAGTAGATAATTTAATTATTATTTCTTTTTGTTAAAGCTAACGTAGCAATTGACCAATATCCAAATTGATATCTCACCAGTTTTTACTTAAAGGGCGTTGGCTCTATTTTTTTAACCTTGAAATAGACAAAAATGTTTCTAAAAGCACATATTAATGTAATATGAATGTATGTAAAATGATTTATATTCAAAAATATTGTAATTTCTAATCAATTATGTTAGGTGAAATACGCAAACAGTTTACGCCTGCTTAGTCCATTCTACACGTTTTTTAAATTATTATTTTGTCGTTCGTGAATCAGCCTTTACTAATTACTTCCCAATGGTGTTGTAGGATATGTTTTTATTTGTTCATTACAAAATGGCACCCAAAACCATAGGGTACACAACTCGTGTACTGATTATAAAATGTTAATTGTGTCTTAAATATTGGATATTAGGATCCTATAGTTTCGCGGCAAGATAACAACATCAATATTGATTGAAATTGACCAATATTGAATTCTAATTCGTGTTTTTAATTTCGAATATTATGGAAAATATTGAGTTAGAGACTTAGCTCCTTTAATAACGATATTACGTTTATTATACACATTTTTGCTATGCCCACATCATCTGTTTCCTATGTTCCACACAGCCTAAAGTTTCGTCATCGTGAGGAAAGAACCATCTGGACCGGCCCTACCGATATATTGGATTTCTTGTGTCCACATAGGATCCTGTTGGTCTAGTTCAGCTATGAACGTTGGTCTCATTACACTCGCCCTGTACAGTAGGCCCCATTCACTCGCCCTGTAAAGTTGGTCTCATTACTCTCGCCCTGTACAGAGACCTACGCTCAGAGCTGAACTACTGTTGGTCATGCCAAATCAGCGATCACCAAGCCCCTGAACTGTTTCCACAAAATATCCCTGAAACAGTAGATTTTCATAACCACCATGATTACCTGTGTCTTTTGGTTCTGGAACACTGATACTTTCCTAAAATAAATAAACACATTTACTAATAGATGCTTGATCAAAATACATCTGTATGTATTATTAATACGACTTTGGAACCTTAAAATAGATGAAAATGTGTCTAAAAGCACATTTAATGTAATATGAATGTTTACAAAGTGATTTATATTCAATATTTAAAAATGTTATTGTAATTTCTAATCAATTATGTTCGGTAAAAAACGGCTGATAAGTCCATTCTACGTTTTTTAAATATTATTTTGTCGTTTGTGAATTAGCCATTGCATTACTAATTACTTCCGCATTGTCTTGTTGAATATTTTTTTCTTTCTTAATTACAAATTGCGCCCAAAACCATAGAATACACGACTCGTGTAGTGATTTTGGAATGTTCTTGTGTTCTTAAATAGTGGATATAGGGTCCCTTATTTTCACGACAAGATAGCAACATCAATATTGATTGAAATGGATCAATATCCGTGTTTTAATTTCGAATATTATGAAAAATACTGAGTTTAACGTCCACTTGACACAAACTTGGTAATTTCGAGATTAACATATGGTTCAAGTGAGAGGAAACTGGAGGACCCGGAAAAAACCTCAGGAGTTTGTCACGTATACATTGGGAATCACGCCAGTTGACTCAATAACAGATTCAACGCGCACGCGCTAACAATTCAGCCATCCACCCCCCCCCCCCCCCCTGCCTTGAACGAGGTGTTGAAGGTGTGTTATAACTAATCAATTTTGAGGATCGAACAATTAAAAAATCGATGATAATTACTCCGCCCAAAATCGATACATTAATTTCGATGGTGAGTGGATAATATAAAGCTTGGTCCATCAGACCATTTCTGGGAAGACGCCCCCCCCCCCCCACCACATAATGATACTCAAAAATTTTTTGCGTTGAAAAACTAGCACATGGTATAAGATAATAACGATAACTCATTTATAAACAATCAACGGCTGTATGGTCGGATGTAAAATGGTTTTATTAAATGACAGCTGTTGTTGTTAATCAACCATGTTGTAATTATTATTTTATTGAAATATTCTATTGTGGATATTATTACAACATTATTTTGATATTATCAATGATCTATAGCTACAGTATATCATATAGTTAAAACTATACCTATAATTAATATCGCAATTTATTAAAGAGACAACCCAATGAAAATTTTGCAATGAAAAGAAATTTTAAAGGAATTGGGCTAATGAAGACGGACGCACACCATACGGTGTGCTATGGGTGAAATTTTGCCTGGGTGGCGGAGCTACGACCTGGCCCCGAGTTCACAAAGCATTCTCAGACTTAAGTTGAGAATTTACTCAAACTTGTCCACCTTATTTGAACTAAAATATAGCCCTTTATAATAATTTTGTTGTTTGAATGTATCAGATTCATCCATAAGAAACTATGTGCAAAATTTTGTGTTTCTGCATCAAAGATATTTCTCATAAACAGTGATTAAAAGTTGAGCAAATTCTCAACTTCAGTCTGAGAATGCTTAGTGAACTTGGGGCCTGGTCTTATTTAAAATTCCAACTGTCAAGGTTCTTTTACGGGCATGCCAGTACACACAAACTCGGTTTCCTGCACCACTGTTAATTCCAGGGGAACTTTATCGGCCAATAGCGGGATCGAACCCCAGAACTTCTGGTTAGTGAGCCAGAGTCACCGCAGTTCCCATGCAACGAAAAGGGTTCTTTATAAGCATGCCCTTGTTTGTTTACGTATCTATTATCATAATATTGTATAAAACAATGAATGCGAGGTCATAATGTGACGTATGATTATTATTTTGACGTATGATTATCATTGAGAGAATATATAACGAATCAGCCATTGAAGATAGATCATGTTTCCACCCTCCTGCGTTGTGTGACCACAGATCACTAAACATTTTCCCATTGACTTTAATGTTAATTCTCGTCTCTTAGACCGGCTCTAACTTTTTCCCAAATTTTCGTTGGGTAGAACGCTTTCTACCGCAGATGGAGCAACATGTGGCAACCTCTTGCCCAAAAGCACGTATGAGGTTCACCATGAAAAACTTGAGATACACAAGCTGGAAGTAGAGATAAGAAAACATGCAATTTTGGAACCTACATTTCAACCTAACCAACCTCTCAACTCTTGTATCCTTCCGCCTCAAAATCATGAATATTCAGGGACGGATCGATCGCCCGAAGGGCCGATCGGACAAAAAATGAAAAAAATAATTTTGTCCAATTCCTCTAAAAAAAACTTTTTCTGCTGAACATTATATGGTGGGGGGGAGTAAATAGGACTGGCCATGGAGCGATGATGATCATGTTGTATGTGGCCGGTGGTTTTAACGGGCCGCCACGCCATCATTGGAGTCTGGAATGGGCTGGTATAATAGACTTTCTGGGCTGGGTGTGGGCCGAAATTCGGAATCCTGCAATGGGGATTCCGAATTTCATCCGAAAATTTCATAGGATTCACCTGACACTGTTACGATGGTTCGTAACTCCAAAAATAATTCAATTTTAAGTCCTCAGCAAAATTTGATGATAGCTGGTCTGTTGGCTGAATATGAGTGCGAAACGATTTCCTTGACATTTTTATTAACTCGTTATTTTCAGAGATGAAATTACCGAGAGAGAGAGAGAGAGGGAGAGAGAGAGAGAGAGAAATGGGGTTTAACGTCCACTCGACACAAACTAGGTCATTTCGAGACTAACATACGGTTTAATTTTATTTCAATAATTCGCTTGCGCGTAGGGGTCTTTAGCAGTGGGAGGAAACTGGAGGACCCGGAGAAAACCCACGTACAACCGAGGATTCGAAACCACGTCAGTTGACTCAATGACAGGCCGTATGATACAGCACGCACGTGCTAACCATTCGGCCATCCAACCCCCCATGAAATTACAGAATTTTGGCCTAAATTAATCAGATATGCCACCAAATCGCATATTTGGGGTTCATTTTTCAAAATTTTCCTGGGGGAAAGTCCCCGGACCCCCGTCCGGGCTCCGCGGTGAGTAAAAGGGGCCGCTCCGACACGGGAGCCCGGTTCCCGGCCCCAATCCGCCCCTGTGAATATTCACCAAAACCTGGTAGAAAATGTATTTTCAAACCCTTTTCTTCGATTTTACACCAAAAAGTCAACAAAAATCGCCATGCAAAACTGGGAAAAAGGGAAAGGGAGAGAAAGACTAAAAATAACTTTCGCGGTGACGGCGTAGAAATATTTGGTGAGCTGTGTCCGTTTGTGACTACAGAAAATCACTCTTCGCCCAAAATAGGTCGTTTTGTGAAGCTTTTTACCTTATAAGAGCTACTTAAATAAAAGTGTAGTGGTGTCACTCACTTGCTTCGTGGACAAAATCAAGGATTTTTTTGCAAATTGACCCAAATAATTGTTAGGAATACACATCTTTCCCGTGTGTAACGAGCTGGAGAATGGGCGGTTTTATAATCCCGCATTCAGGAAGGAAGGCAGGAATGGAGTTTGAAATAAAATGATAAGAGGTTTAACGTCCTACTTCACCGACTGGGTAAATTGAGACGGACATACGCCATACAGTATGCAATGATGGAAATTTTGCCCGGTTAGCAGAACTACGCCCTAGCCTTATTTCTAATTCCAACTGTTAACGGTTCTTTTACGTGCACGTCAATGTGTACACGGGAACTCGGTTTTTCGTCCTATAGGAACTATACATTGTCCCTTGCCAGTACGGGGGTACCACTGACAAGGCAAGGGGGGGGGGGGCGGCGTCGGAAAATCACGATGAACTTTCTCCAGGATCGAAACACGCGACCTTCAGGTTAGCGAGCCACCATCTTAATCAATGACCCACCCCGGCTCCCACAATGGCGCCTGTCTCTGGTGAAGGGACATTGGATTTGACAAGCACATAAACTGAACTTAATCTTATCACTCTTTTGAATGATAAAGTTTTTTGTGCATATTCAGCTACTGTGCAGGCTAAATATAACTCATGTAACTTATATTATTTATTATGTTCTGATTTATTTACAGGACGATTCGGGTTTTGTGTTGGCTAAATATAAACTATGTAAATAGTCATATTCATTTAGACCTGTCTACACGTATCGCCGTGGTCATATTTGCGTACCTGAGGCTTTGGTACATATTTCATAATTCAAACAATATGATATATTTTATATAAAATGTCATATTCATTTATGTATGAAATAAAACACCCTTAAAAATCTACTCACCATGCGAAGATCATTTGCAGCATGTAGGACAGCGGCTGTATTTTCTGAGTTCGCCATTTTACCTATATTGCAGACTATTTTGTAGATAAGTTGACTAATCATAAATTAAATAGGTTATCTTGTGTATCATTTCTATTGTTCATTATGTAAATGCTTAAAGAGATACTCTCACTTTAGAGATCGTTTTATATGGTTGATTTGAGTTGATTTAATTTGACTTTACAGTTCCATAATTTAGATCTATATATATATATATAGGCCTATAATATATTACTGTGTACAGTAGTAGGAACTCATATAGGGCTTTGACTCGCCCTATTGGGGGCTGTTGAGATGTCGTTTCTGTGACGTCACATACAACGAACTTACTATTTGGCCAACTATAATTTTAGAATCGTATTCGAGAGATTTATCGCAGGAGCTACGCAACATAAGTGGAGACCAGGCTTGAAAAATCAAATGGTTCTTTTATGCCCAATTTACTTGCCGCTCAACAACCGCGGTTCCATTTCACTGAATTAATCTGTCATTTATATCAAGCCCAGGGCTGTCGATAACAATATTATCGGTAAGAAGCTACGAGTTATCTGTCCTTGATTACATAAAGTACTATCACAGCAATGAACGCAAACAGAAGGCGTATCTCTACAGGTTTTTCTGTCGTTTAATGATTGCAAATCATGACACAACTGCCTTTCCATACATCCCTGAAAATAATAAAACAAAACTTATTTATATAAACCCCTACTAACAAAGAGACATCAGACAACCCTACGTTTTGGAGCCAATAATGGCAGTATCACCGATTCCACACTTTTCCCTCTAATATCCGACACCCTGTAAAGAAATGAAATGGGGTTTAACAACCTACTTTTGTGCGCCAACCGGACCAATGTCGACGGACGAACATAAGCTATGCAATGTTCCATGCCGGAAATTTTGACATGCTAGCGGCGTTATGGCCTACCCTTATTTATGTTCCCGACTGCCAGGGAATCTTGAACGTTCTTGGCAATACAATGGCGCTTAGCCTAACCACGCCCTTTATCTTGCACCACTGACAAGGGCAAACCTTGATGTGGCTGAACTTGGATAAGAGTCAGAGACACGTTTGTTACTAAATCGACAGACTACCATGCAACTAAACATACACCCACCAGCAGCTAAGTCGTCCAAACATTTAAAACAAGATTTCGTAACAAATAAGTAATAACTGTGGAAGTCAATACAGCTCTTCCTTTCCATATAAAAATCAACCCATATTAATTTCAGAATGATTTGACGTCAATTTAAGCTTCTACAGCGCTAACAAGATTTCGTAACAATGAGGAATAACTTTGTATGGTATTTTTGAAAATCTTTGAAAATCAACAGGTTTTTAATGTTTTAATGAAATAGAAAACACAATTTCAAAAATATATTGTTGTGTTAACAAGAAATATGAACTACGGATGGACCTTCGGGCGGGGGTAGCGGCAATATGCGACCATATTAAAATGTTGGCGTATAAAAAGCTACCCTTGTTTAACATTTCGATGCCTGTTGCTTTCAGTCATTTATTGTTGAAAACATCAAGATACAAGCGGGTTATTATTACAAAATAATTCAATCGTTTAGTTAATTCTGTCCCTGGGAATGCATAATTGCATTATTCTGGATTCCTATCTTGATACATATTAGTAACGGTTCTTTTACTTGCACGTCAATGTGTACACGGGACCTCGGGTTCTCGTCCTATCCGAACGCCTATACGTTGTCCCTGGCGAGATTTTCTATCCTGTACACCTGACAAGGGGGTAACCACGTCGGAAAATCCCGGTGAACTTTCTCGGCCATCACCAGGATCGAACACGGGACTTTCAGGTTGGCAAGCCATCATCTTACTCACTGAGCCACCGCGGCTTCCGGAATGGAGTTCAACCTCCACTCAATATAATGGTGATTGTTTCTCATAGTATTTCGCATTAGCATTAGTAAAGATATCAGAGAAAACAGTAGTATCGAAATTTTAGCACGTTCGCCCTTCGAATTCCAATCCACCAAGAGATCTTTTACGTGTAATTTGTACACGGGACCTCAGTGTTTCGTCTCATCCGAAGGACTAGATATATATGAAACCCTTAGGCGCCACACATTACAGATTCGTCGTTATTTGAACTCAGATATTCTGCTTTGAGCCCACAAACATTGCAACTTTGCGAAATAACAATATGACGTTACAAGACATCAACTATTTATACCTTTGTAAAAAGTCGGCCTTCGAACTGTTTTCTTTCAAGCGTATTGGAGCATATTTCACCTGATTGACAAGTCGTAGTTTTCTGTGTACAGAGTTGATTGGTCCAGCCGCTATCACAAATATAACATTCTAAACTCCAGACCTCTGCAAAACAATATACAAGTTTAACAACAGCGATCCCATTTGTTTTACTTAAAAAAATATTTTCTTTGATAGCAAGAACATCTTGCTGAATAAGATGAATAATTAGATTAGTGTGATGCTGCGAGGTAGGTGTCAAAAATTTAAGGGTCCATGCATCCAGCCAATGTTCAGCTATAACTCACCTTAAGACCCCCCCCCCCCCCTTCTCCACACACACACACACACACACACCCCGCCCAAGAAAAGAAACGAAACAAAAATTAGTAAACAAAACGAGTTCCACTAAATATTACGGAAGAGAAAGTGAACCGCATACATCTTCACCCATCAGAATTTGAGATACCAAGTTCTATTAACACTTTATAGAGATGTTTAGCTTCATTAAATATTCTTTAAATAATGTTTTATTCGGCATAAAGTAAAATTAATTAATTTACCTGGTAAATGCAACAAACAAAGGGACAGAACGACAGCAAAAACCATTTTACATATTCATGTACATAGAAACATTCCTTACATCGTCAGTATAGGTCTACTTATTAAAAATGAAAAGTTGATCCGTTAACAATAACACCTAATAACGTATATTGTTACGGTGCTACTGAATAATTCTGTTCCACCTTTATTATACACTTTCTATCAACGTAATTGATCTTTTATTATTCGCGGATAGATATGTCTATCTCTTGACCTGGAGTTCAGCTAGCTCGCAACTTGTCTTTAATAAATATTAAAGCTGACGTCGCCATGCCACCAATGTTTACATATCTACCCTTATCTCGATATTATTATGTTAACGGTGTATAATAAAACATAAAGTACTCATGATTAAAAAATTGTTCAACTGGTAATAATCTCAAATTTGGGGGCAAAAAATTCTACTGTCCCACTTATAATTTTGGGGTCTGTATGCCCAAGTCTATGATAATATTAGGATTTAATGGTTTATCAGGCCGTGATTGAGCGAACGTCCATATAATAGTGTCACAGTATTGTCAAACCTCAATAATTTGATAGTCAAGTATAGGCCTATATTAATAGGACGATTGGGATGTTATTAAAGATTGCGAGAAAATCACAATATAAGTTGTAGTATATGATAAGGTGTAGTATACCCTTCTTAAATAAAGTTATTATTATTATTATTATTATAAAATAAAATGGTTCAAACCTTCTAATTTCTGAACCAACCGGGCCAATGAAGACGGGCATACGCTATGCAATGTGCTGTAAGAGAAATTTCACCTCCTATACTTTTCATCAGCATTTTTTTTTAAAATAATGTTTTAAAAAAATGTTATATCTTTAAAATTGCTTGCAGTTTTATTGGAAATTGACATGGTAGCTAGAAAGTTAACTTTTTATTGGCCATTAAGATTAAGTGGGTATACAGGACTAAGACTAGTAATTGCTTCCCCTGATTTCAAGAATATGCTGCCATGTTTTGGTGAATAATCAGGATTTTGAGGCTGAAGGATCAGTAAGTAGGGAAATAACGTACAAATTTGATGTCAGAGCCTATAGATTACTTTGACAGACGTAAAAATGGTGACATGTTGGGCTGTTTATTGTTTTAAAGATTAGGATCATCGGAATGTTCATCAAAGAGGATTACTAGTCTGAATCCAGGAATATGAAGAGGAGTTACCCCCCGTGATTAGAATTCTTTATGTAGAAAAGAATACAAAAGTATATCCTGAAGTACGTTTAATATTAAAAGTTCGATATTCTTTATTTCGTCCTATATTATACCCTATCACTACCTTTTAAGATACCTTCCTAACCATCTTTGATAAAATATTTTTTATACACGAAATGCAGGAACAACAATAAATAATTTCTTTTTCTCTTCATATATATTTAATTTAAACCAAAATGTAGAAAATTTGGCCGTCGTTAGAAACATTAATTTGACCATAGATTTTAATCAGGTATCGTCAGATCAGATTAAACTACACCGGGACAAATCGAATTTTATACTTTTTAAAAAGGAAATAATATCCTGAGAAGTAAAAAACATTATTGAAACAAATATTGGAATCTTGTAAAATTATATTATTATTTATCTTGAATATTAAATGTTAAATATTAATTATTGTGATACAATATATTACACTTAGCATGGTTGTAAATAATTTTTAAAGAATAACTGAATAACTTGAAATTTTTATTTCTTCGAAAAAATATCCTACCGGTATTTTCAAAGAACTGGGTTAACCACAAGAAAAAAATCCAGGGCTGCTCAGATTATATTAAAGATGTATTAGGTCTTTTTCTGGCTTCAAACGTTATATAAATTATCATTTAGGCATTTATCCACAAGGAAAGTTCACAATCAACTTCCTAGATCATCGGATGGCTGAGGTATTTACTCATTGAGTGTACATGTATTAGATACTGTCTGCCATAAACGTTAATGGGCTAAATCGCTAATATTATTATTTAGGACCTAGAAATGGACACAAATGGGTCGCGATTAATATAATAATGTACAATGAATGTTTATTTAAACTGATTTACATTCAATCGTTTCCGTTTTTACTATAATTTCTAATCATTTATGTTTGGCAAAATACGCCAGAAGTCTCAATTGAATGGCAATTTCTAGCGCAGTGGTTCTCAACCTTTTTTTGGCACACCTTGGAAAACATGAAAAAATAGCTGCACACTTGGCTAAATATATATGAAAAATATTTTAATTTTGCAAAATAAAAACATGGTAAGTCAGACAGAATACAACCATAGACAGAGACTATAGTCATAGACACATAGAATAACTCAAACTAAATTAAGAGAGAGAGAGAGAGAGAGAGAGAGAGAGAGAGATGGGGTTTAACTAGGTCATTTCGGGACTAACATAAATTTTATTTCAATAATTCGCTTGACTCAATGACAGACTTTATGGTACAGAGCGCACATGCTAACCATTCAGCCACCCAACCCCCCAAAATTATGAAAGCCACAGCTATAAACTTATGAGTATACACCAGTGAATACTCAATTGGGAACACGTGGTTTTTCACATTTTCTTAGTGTGCCGTTCAAAATTTCGCGGCACACTGAGGAAGATCTTCATTGGATATATGCAAATTGATTTTATTGGTCAGCCAATCGAATTGCAGTATTTCTTAAAATTTCGATTTTATCTTAGTTTAAGTTTTCGTGAATAAGGGCCCGGGCTATTCCAGTCTGCGGCGATAGTATTTATTGCGTATGCTCCCCAGATAAGAATATGACGTCACCGTTTGACACGACTTGTGGAATATGTTTAGCCTCGTTCTTCGAGTCCCTTGTTACAAATGGCCATGGTACACGATTCGTGTACCAATGGTAAAATGCTTATTTTGTTTTAAATATTGGATATCGGAAGCCCATCTTTTCCCGGTAAGATCACAACATCAGTGTTGATTTAAATTGACAAATAATTTGTGTTTTCAGTGTCGAAGACTTTGAATGATATTGAGTTAGAGACTTAGCTACTTGAACATAGAAAACCGAGGCTTCGTTTATTATCGTAACAAGTACTTGCGCGACAGTCGAGACAATTTACGAATACGAATATTCAACTTGTAAGTGTTAGCCCTTTTCAGTGACTGTCGGAAAATGAACACAAGCAATGACTAGAGTCCATTTAGCGTGATATTTAGTGGGCACCGATGATTATGGTAAGACTCCTTCATCTTCTTGATGGAATGTAAAAACAAAACTCTCATCGTTTTTTTTTTTTTCAAAATTTCTCAAATAAAAGGAATGGTGTTAGTAAACCTATTATTATCATAGATCATAGGATAGGTATTTTTATGCCGGCTGAAAATGACAGTTCGATCAGCTGACTATATAGAAAACTATTATTATTATTATTAGTGTATTAATATTATTAGCCATGCCGCCTGGTAGAAAGTCGTTTCCTTATAAAACAACAGAAGCTAGCTGTCCTAATGATAAACAAAAAAGAGAAAAATTGTATAGTGTTAGTTTAATTTAGGAACTCGGTGCATTTTAAAAACATTTTTATGTGGTTAGTAAGTTGGTAGGTGAGTGTGTAGAGAAAAGGGCTTTGCCACTCATTTGGGGTTATACTATATACTGCAAAACACTGGAAAACAACCGGAAAACTACCAGAAAACACTGGAAAACTCCCGGAAAACACCATGTTATATACTGAATACCGGAAAACACCGGAAAAACACTAAATACCGGAAAACACACTAAATACCGGAACCCTAGGTCTATAAGACCGCACACAGAGGACCAGGCTCCGGGTTACCTATTTACGGTGTTTTCCGGTATTTAGTGTTTTCCGGTATTCAGTATAACATCGTGTTTTCCGATAGTTTTTCGGTGTTTTCCGGGTGTTTTCCGGTATATAGTATAGTCGCTCATTTGTGGTTCTCTTGCACCTACACTTACTAGAGTATTGGAGTTTGTCTTATAGTGGGGTTCATACTATTATTATAGACTCTCTTTCAAAAAATGGTGGGGTGCTATCTATTTTATTACTAATTAGTGAAAATCACAAAAAGCCAATGTTGCTATTCTTATTACTAATTAGTGGAAATCGCAAAAAGCCAATGTTGCTATTTTCGTAATATTTCTTGAAAGAATGATTTAAAATTAAAAAAACAAAAACAACCCGAAATAAATTAAATTCCTAAAAAAGCCTAAAAAAAGTTTAAAATATTTACCATTTTTACTATACATTAAAGTCCCTGAGATTGATTTAAGCCATTTATATAGGAATCCCTTGCAAACTACAATATAGTAAAAGTTGAATTTCTAATTGGAATATCAGTCCAACAACGATTTACTTTTTCTACTTAGTTTCTTATTGACATATTTGATACATTAAAACAACACTTTACTTTTTCAATTTCTTAACAGGGGGTTGGGTGGCCGAATGGTTAGCATGTGCGAGCCGTATCATAAGGTCTGTCATTGTACGTGACAAGGAGTAGAGTCGCCTGTTCAACCTCGTGGGTTTTCTTCGGGTTCTCTGGTTTCCTCCCACTGCTTAAGACCCCTATGCGCAAGCCAATTATTGAAATAAAATGGAACCATTTGTTAGTCCCAAAATGACCTAGTTTGTGTTCAGTGGATTAAATACCATCTCTCTCTCTCTCTGTCAACAAAACAGATCTTCCCAGTTGAACTGTCTGTGGTGTTGCAGTAGGTTGATCGCCAAGTTTGTTCATTGTTGTATGATGTCATGATATTATAACACATTCCTCGCCATCTTAATGTGTTTAGGTAATCTAATTGATGGGCCTGATTTAAATCCTCTTGAATCTAGGCCAGAGGATATTATCAGATTTCGATATTTTGATTTTGTTTCCTTAATTAAACATGCATTATGCAAGAGCTAAATCTGCCTATTGCAGATCTTTCTTTAGGCCTGAAATGTTATATGAATTGAGTCAACTGGCGGGGTTTCAATTCCCCAGTTGTACGTGACAAGGAGTAGGGTCGTCAGTCCAACCTCGTGGGTTTTCTCCGGGTTCTTTGGTTTCCTCCCACTGCTAAAGACCCCTAAACGCAAGCGAATTATTGAAATAAAATTAACCATATGTTAGTCCCAAAATGACCTAGTTTGTGTCGAGTGGACATTAAACCCCATTTCACTCTCTCTCTCTCTTTCATTAGCTCAGTCAGAGCAGAAAAGTAGGACGATAAACACCATTTCATTTCATTATAGCTTTGGTACATGTTTTATTATCTGAAAGCTCTATTTGTTCTTTGTTTATATGGCCAAATTAATTGGCGTCTTGCCATCCATTTGTTTTTTAAAAACAAAATTTCATACTCTTCTACCTACATTACATCATGCACATCATTCAAGTTTGTCATGATTCAATCATGCACGTCTTGCATGATAGACATTTTGATCTAACCTCCTGTACAATAATATGAGTGTGGAGTGTGAAAGTCATGACTCACTGTAGCATAACAACACAGTAAATGCCAACAGTATGTTAGTTATTATTGCCAATACTTGGAAAGCTTGTCTGTATAATGATGATGATATGCAATTCAGTAGTAAACAATGTAAGTCACTCAGTAAGCAATTCATAAGTTATTAAATAAGAAGGCCCCGAGTTCACAAAGCATCCTCAGACGTAATTTAAGAATTTACTCAACTTTCAATCATTGTTTACGAGAAATGTCTTTGATCCAGAAGCACACAACTTTGCACATTATTTCTTATTGACATATATGATACATTAAAACAACAAAAATTTTATAATGGGCTATATTTTTGTTAAGATATGGTAACAATTTTGAGTAGATTCTTAACTTAAGTCGGAGAATGCTTTGTGAACTCGGGGTAAGAATTCATAACTTACTCAGTAAACAATTCATAAGTTATTAAATAGCAGGTCTTATAATTAGAATTTGTCACTTGGATGGGGAATCTTTCTTTGTTCCATATTGCTAGTTTACTGAATAAAATATAGTTTTATAGTTTACAAAAAAAAAAAAAAAAAAAAAAAAATTCCATTATGTTTTTCAGAGAATGATGATAAGCTATAATGTGATATAATTATAAAGATTGATTTGTAAATGGGAAATGTGAGAAGTAAGTTAGGTGAAATGTTACATACAGCTATTAAAGAAGGCAGGAAGGATGACGCTCTTGATTTGCTAAAGAGTGGAGTGCATGTAGGTTTAGTTTCAGTATCATAATAAAATGAAATGGGGGTTTAACGTCGTACTGATCTGCACCGACTGGGCTAATGAAGACAGACATAATTTGAAGCATGTACTGGCCGGCACACTTTGTTTCTATCATATTATGATCATTCCATGTCAAGTGGGCCATTGGTGGGAAATTGCCCCACCCCCCCAAAAAAGAAATATGGGAAAAAAACGGTTGTACATGTAAAAACTAGAATATTGACAGAGATACAGGCGTTTGAGTTTTGAGTTACCAATAAGATTTTGAAACAAAATATGTATCAATTATTTACTCGAGTTTCAGATATCTTGTTTTTATACGCCTTCATTTTTATTGTCGTCGCCCCTGTCCGTCCGTCCACAATTGTTTGTGAACACTCTACAGGTCACAATTTTTATCCGATTTCGATGAAACTTGAAATATAGGTTTATCACCCCAAGATCTTGGTTCCTTTTGATATTGGCATGTATCGGACTGTAACTTCATGGATTATGGCCATTGATTGTACGAAAAATCACATTTTTAGCTTGTGAACACTATAGAGGTCACAATTTTTATCCTATTTTGATGAAACTTGAAATGTAAGTTTATAACCCAAAGATCTCGGTTCCTTTCGATATTCGCACATATCGGACCATAACTTCCTGAATTATGGCCACTGATTGTAGAAAAAATTGCATTTTTAGCTTGTGGACCCTATAGAGGTCATAATTTTTATCCGATTTAAATGTATTATTATATCACCGTTACACCCTAAGGACGGCCGAGTTTGAATTTCGTGAAAATCGGCCCAAAACTGACAGACAAAATGGCCGCCCCTCGTTCTCAAATAGCGTAAAAATATGGTACAGTATATCAATGTTGTAGACCCAATAGAGGTCACAATTTTTATCCGATTTTGTTGAAACTTGAAATGTAAGTTTATAATCCAAAGATCTCGGTTCCTTTTTAGCTTGGTTACCTATCTAGTGTAGATATAGGGCTCAAATTTGGCAGTCATAAAGAACATCGTTGTGTAGACTACGAATCTGCAATCAGATTACAGGCATGCATGCTACTTGGCCACGAAAACCGAAAAAAAAATTAGTGTAATTGTATATTTTCTGGATTTTGTTGTGCTCCAGGAGCTACAAAGTAATAGATAGAAACCCAAATTTTGTCCTATCTAGAGATTGCCGGTAGTACTACCTAAGAAACATGAAAACACATCAGTCTACATCAGATTCCCAGAAAAATGGCCTCGAATATGGTTTCAGACACAAATTTTTGAAAATTGCCTAATTATCAAGCCGATAGAACCTGGTAGATGAACACCTAAAAATCTCATACTTGGTGGAATTGTAGTTTGTAGTAATTTCTCTAACATATGTAAAAACCATTCTTGTCCCATGCCATCTCAATATTTTTTCAAAATCTGTGTTTTGGTCCATGTCAATTATCACCCAATGAAATTTGGTTTATATGCTTATTAGGGCTGAAAAGTGTGCTATTCAAAATGTTAGCTTGATCCAACTAACACTTAGTAACAGTTCCTGAGATACGGTCCACCCAATGGTGGGAATTTTGGCCAAAATAGGTGTGGCCGCCATTCAAATGACCATAAGTCAGTAACCAATAGGAATAAGTATTTCTGGAATGAGAATTCTACAAGGATTCTAAATCAACACTTATCTTTGGCAAAGGTGTGTTTAATATAGAGTGAAGACCTTTAGACTTTGAATTTGACCTTGCATGTAACCTTGAGATGAACTTTTGTGAAAAATTTAGCCCAACATGTTTTCTACACAATGTCAATCAATTGGAGGTATAATATCTTTTATATGCATGTAAAATCAAGTTAAATATTCACACTTGAGGCTGAAAATCAGTGTCGTTGCACTTAAAGCAGGATTATGTTCATGGATAAGCTCTGTAGTATACTGCTGCAAACTTTCCTAAAGATAGATAAATATGATTCAAACATCAAATCATCCCCTTTCCCATTCCAGAAATACATATTTCAGCAATTTTGACATATAAGTTATTGGGTTATGGCCATATGAATGATTACGGACACACCCATTTTGTTCGAGTTAAATTTGGAATAACAGCTTTTTCAGCCCTAATAAGCATAAAAACCAAATTTCAGTAAACTCGGAAGAGGGTACGGTTTTAACGATTTTTGGGTGATAATTGACATAGATTGACCCAATTGAAAATTGAAAAAAAGGTCTAGATGACATGGGACAAGAATGGTTTTAACATATGTTGGAGAAATTACTATAAACTATAATTTCACCAAGTGTCAGATTTTTAGGTGTTCATGTACCGATTCAATCGGCTCGAAAATATGAGGCAGTTTTCAAAAATTTGTGTCGGAAACCATATTCGAGGCCAATTTTCTGGGAATTTAGTGAAGACTGGTTGGTTTTCATATGTTTCTTACGTAGTACTACTGGCAATCTGTAGACAGGCCAAAATTTGGATCTATATATGTTACTTTGTAGCTCCTGGGGCACTACAAAATCCAGAAAATATACAATTACACCAAATTTTTTTCCATTTTCATGACCAAGTAGCATGCGAACCCTACAACTCACCTGTAATCTGATTGCAGATACGTAATCTACACAAAAAGTTCCTTAAGACTGCGAAATTTGAGCCCTATATCTTCACTAAAAAAGTAAAAACAAGATATCTAAAACTTGAGTAAATTATAGATACATATTTTGTTTCGAAAGCTTTAAGACTACCAAATTTGAGTCTTATATCTTCACTACAAAGATATCTGAATCTCGAGTAAATTATTGATACATATTTTGTTTCGAAATCTTGTGGGTAACTGATAAAACTTAAATGCTGGTATGTCAGTCAATTTTCAAGCTACAGACCAAAAATTTTACGCAGTTTCTAGTTTTTACAAATTTGAATTTCTAACGGAAATTAAATATGAAAAGCAGTGAGGTGCATCTATTTTTATTGCAAATTAGAATATTTTTGTCTACGCATGATTAATTGTGGTCTGAATCTGTCTGCTTAAATGACGATAAGAGTTATGCCCCTTGAAATAGCAACACTGGTGTGGCCTAATAAGCAAAATGTGTTCACTGTTGATGTGAATTATTTGTTTCAGGTTGATATTTTTTTTGAGAATAAATCTGTGATATATACCGCTGTATTACATAAACAGTATGATGTTTTGGAATATGTGCTACAGCATAAAGAAGTTAATATGGAGGATGGTTATTATACAGGTAGACTACTTTTAAACTAACAATAACCTAATAAATATTGTTAAATGCAGATTTCAGGAACTGTGGAAATCTTATATGTCGTTCAGATGCTTATATTTAAACTGGGCAATGGAATGTTGTGTTCACAGTGCTATAAACCAAGTCAGCTTAACTATTTCGACTATGTCGATTAAGGGTTAATTACGAATGTACTGGCACATGTCATCATTTGGCCAGGAAGATAACTTACTTTGCATGTCTAAAGCTAGCTGAAACTTACATTTCATGTATTTCTAAGTTAACCTTTTCAGAAGAGCAAGATAAGCAAAGTTTTAAAATAAAAGGCCTTCTGAGTTAGAAAAATTTTGCTTTCAGGTGATAAAGTTAAACTTGTTAATGATCCTCAGCATTTTAAACCTGTTTAACTTAAACATGCATTATACTAGAGCTAAATCTACCTATTGCAAGTCTTTCTTGCATCATGCATGTTTAATGGCAAAGCACAACGATCACAATACAGTGGTCTTTTAAGGCATGAAAAATAATGCACCTTTAATTCTAGTATCTAATCAGTTTTATTATATAATTTGTTTTTATAGAAACACCACTCCATTGTGCTTGTAAAAATAGTGATTTAAAGGCAGTAGAAATGCTGATTGCAGCCGGAGCTAAAGTAAATGCTGTAGATCAAAATAACTGCACACCATTATGGCTGGCAGTAGAAGCAGGAAGAAGAGATATAGTAGACTTCCTACTCAATGAATGTCTTATGAAAGTAGATATCAACACTCACTGTAAAGATAGGTTTATGGCAAAGTGAGTATAGGCCTTCTACAGCATTCTTATTCACTAAAACTTAAAACTGATTCAAATTTTAAACTTAAATTACAGGTTCCATTATTAAGAAAAATACAAAAGTAGTTTGCTGTCTGAACTTCTCAAATAAGAGAGAGAGAGAGAGATTCAGGATTAATTCAACTTTATTTCAATAATTCACTTTAACTGTGGGAAAAAACTGGAGGACCCGTAGGAAAACCAGGTTGGACACCTTGTCATGTGTAGACGGGAAATCAAAACCATGCCACCAGACTCAGTGACAAACGTTTTGATCCAAGGTGCACATGTTAAAACATTCAGGCACCCAATCCCCTAAGTGTTCTAGACAGAGTGCACCACACTTACCACTATTTATAGCTAAATGGGGAGGATAGTTTGTACTCATATTTCAGCTACTAGGTTAAAACCAGTAGAATTCAGCCCCTTAATTGTATATCAAAGTCCAAAAAAACCCACAAGGAAAATAAAGGATGTATAAATATATATTTTTACCTGTTTACAGAGATGCCAAATGTACACCTGTTAATAAAGCTGCTGAAATGAATAACACAGAAATAGTACGCATATTAGCAAGTCATGGTGCAGATGTTAATTTTCCAAACAATCATGGGTAGGTTAAGGAATATTTATAACTAGCTAATGATTAAGTTTTTGATCAGATTCTTGAAGATTGTTAATGTGTTCCCTCAGAACTCATTTAATTAACTAGAGGTAAATCTTATTGGGAAATAATCGCTCCTATTATCTGAATTAATCTTTCTTCTTGCTTATAGTCTAAGACCATTTTCCAGGCACACCTGAATTGTATGAAGGAACGTCGATTGTTTTGTGGATATGGATTAAGACTAGTAATTGCCTCACCTGATGGACGATCGTTCATTCGTTCGTTTGTGGGGTTTTACCTCCACTTCCACCTAGAGTGATATCGTAGACAAGTGATGAACGAATATTATGTTTCTAGTTGTAGCAATTCTCTCTTCTCACTCCTCCACCCCCCACTGCCTATGCATGACAATTGGTCTAGGGTCAAATAAGAGTGTTTGAATGCTGGTGAATGTTCATAATATTAGGGAGGAAGGATCAGGAAGTAAATAACGTACAAAAATGATGTCACTGCCTATAAATACCTTTCACCAGGTGTAGCAAAGAACCCCTTTTAATATTTTTATCAGATGATTGTGACATGTTGGGTTCTCTGTGGTTGTACAGATTAAGATCATCGGAATGTTCTAAAAAAATTGAACATTGCATTAAATAGGTAGAGAATTAATAGTCTGACTCCATATTACAAAATATGTAGTTATCTCCCCTCGTTAACTATTAATATTTTTGATATTATACTCTATTGGTTCATCATCTTCAAATTATATTACTTTATTTTGAACAATTTTCAGGAGAGTGGCACTACATCATGCTTGTTATACTGGTAATAAAGACATTGTAGAAATATTATTAGATTGCCATTGTGATGTTGATCTCGTAGATGAAGATGGTATTAGTCCATTCTATGTCGCCTGTAAACATAATCATCATGAAATAGTTAACCTGTTGATAGATCAAGGTACGTAGTGTCTGCCAAATAGAATAACTGCAGCAACAACTATATAGAATTGAAAAATGTCATTTTCCATTGAAATCAAAATGCACAGCAGATAATGATGATAACATTACTTGTTTCTCTTATGATGAGTGCTGTTAAAAGATCATAGAATTGCCAGATCCTTTTTTATTCAAAGCGCGTAAAGCTCTAGCTTAATATTATTCACATCTTCAACATTGCAAACACGATTTATTGGTCCATTCCAATCAATATTGAAGCTTTTATCTTGCTGTAAAAATATTGGATCCTGACATCCAATATTTAAGACACAATGAACAATTTTAAAATCAGTCGATGAGAACGTGTACTTTATGTTCTCTAGCGCCATTTGTAATCAGGCACCTTATGAACGATTAAAAAATGTCAGTGCGTAAGTGAAATGTCAAACCGTACTTCTGATGTAGACTGGACTAACAATTCCTGCCATTCAATTTGGACTATTCACTTATATGAACTGAAATGGCAATAAAAGTTTTAAAAGATGAATGTAAATCAGTGTATATACACTCATAAAAGATAAATATGTGCTCTTAGACCCATTTGGGCAGAATTGGCACCTTTACGTCTGCACATACTATTTTATGTACATATTTGTACTAAATAGGAAATATATTTTATCCAGATACACTTCAAACACTTTTATTTTCTTTCATAATAATTTAAAAAATTGTTTTAGAATTTAATTTGCAGAAGAAAAAAAGATAATATTGAGGGCTGATTAATTGGCCCAGATGTCATCCCTATCAGTAATAATAGTGCAAAGCGAATATTTTCGGCTAATCTGTTTGAAAACAGTGAGGTATCAAAAATCTAAGTCATCATGTTCATGTTTTTCCTTGTTTTGTTTAGGTTGTGATGTAAATAAACCTAGATCAGACAGTGGTTGGCATTGTCGAGGGTTTTCACCACTACACGTAGCTACACAATATCATCAGACTAAAGCAGTGAGGGCGCTACTAGCTGCTGGAGCAGATGTCAATCAAGGTGATTTTCGTGATGTTCAACCTGTGGCGTTGGCTTGTGAAGAAGGACAGATAGAAATACTCAATTTATTATTACAATATAATGCAGATGTGAATCATAAAGATAAAAATGGCTCTGTAGCACTGGCGTACTGTTTTGAATTCTCGTATCCAAATGAAGTATTGAAACGTCTGCTCCAGGAACATGTTGATGTGAATGTCCGTATGTTTGATCAAGAACCTATTTTACATTTCTCGGTTCGGCATTTCTCTGTGGAAATTCCATCATTATTGGTTAATAATGGGGCTAAGCTTAACATATTAGACAAGAGAGAACTGAACGCACTTTATTATTCTATCAACATGGGTAAACTTGCTACTAGTTCACTTCTGCTGGTGCATGGAGCACGGATAACAGAATACGAACTCGAAAATGCTTTGACGTCTTTGAAGATAACCTACAAACTTATTGAAGTTATTTTGGAAATTATCAATATGGACATGATACGGAATGTTTTGCCAAAATTTGAGTCGCATCATAAAGAGATGTGTGACCTTGTGATGAATGTTTTGTGTCAGCCGTCTAGTTTAAAGAGACTATGTAGAGATGTGATAAGAGCGACTGTAAGTAAAAAGACTAGTAGATCTATTCTACCATTAATACAATCGATCAAACTGCCAGATATTATTGTCTCATATTTAACTTGTGAAATTCATTTACATTCTATTTAGCTATTGTTAATTTATTTTTGTTTGTTTTGTATTGAATGGTCTACATTTAGATATAACTACTTCCTTATTAATTCCGGTCTTCATTAGCCCAGTTGGAGCAGTAGGATATTAAACTCCATTTCATTTCATTTCCTTATTAGTTCTCACTTCTCTTAGAAGTTTATCGACATCTACTTTAATTGGTTAAAACTAAAACCATTCTTTCCCAAGACAGGGCATCTCTGCGTTGGTTAGAAAGGAGATTAAATCAAGGTAGATCAATTGGACACAAACTTCATAATTCAATGGAAGGTCCCCATGTTGAGTATAGACAGATTCATCCAGGCACAAGGTTACTACTAGTCAAGATGTTCATCTCCAACTCCTCCTGCTAACTTGACCTAAATATTTTCCTAGAAAGCTTTCATCACAGAAATATATCTGGGATTTCTCCTACATATCTTTCATTTTAATGGCTAGTATCTAGCTGATGATCAATTTCTTAATAAACCCAAATTTTAATATGTAGTTTACTTATAATATATTATGAGGTTTTTCTTTTTGCCAAAATTGAAATGTCTCAAGATCTACATATATTCTAAGTTATTATATTACCAGTATATATTTATTAAATAAAACAGTTTCTCTAATACTATCTTCCTTTATGTTAATATAAAAATTAAGAATCTGAAGGGGCTTACTTTTTCACAATATTTGTCACATTTCTCAAGTTATTTTCATTAGAACCTGTAGGCTATAATGTCAGCGACATTAATGGGAATATAAATTTGCTTATTAAGTAAGAGAAGCTGCAAGGTTTCTGAATAAATTTATAAACAAAATTTATGTTTCAATCCATGTTACTGTCAGCATGTACTTATAGGTTTATAGGAGCCCATAGATTTACCCAAATCAACTTGAATTAACCAAAACGACCAGTATTTTGCTTTAACTGCACTTTATCTTATATTTTTTATATCAGGCTTTTTGTGGTTATAAAGATTAAGATGATCAGTATGTTATTAAACAAATGCTGTAGATCAAGAAATGTCAAGGATTTAACATTAAAGCCAATATAGGGAGAGAATTACTAGTTTGACTCCATAATCATTACAGTAACAATTAAGAGTTTTTTTTCTTGTTTTTATATCTTCCATTTATTTACCGGTATGTTATTTTCTTCAGAACTATTTAAAAAATAGAGTGAATATTAGGGAATATTATTCATCATACATACAGAAAGAAAGGAAACCATAAAAACTATGATGTTTTTGGTAATTCAAGTTGTTTTGGGTTGCTTTGGGTAAATCTAAGGAACTGCAGGGTTATAGTAATAACAACTTTTTCATATTTTTCAAATGGTTTGTGTTACTTACTACATAAAGAGGGCGGGTGGCAGACATCACTCACCCAGACCTAAACTTGCCTGAATTAGTAAATTAGGAGAGGAACCATCCATTCACCTTCTGAACACTTGCTAGGCTGGAAGCTTGCATATTCACCTTTAGGTTGGGATTCTTTAGTCCTCTCATATTTTCTTATGGCAGGGTCTGGGTGGGGTCGATTCTTGTGGCTAGTATCTAGCCGATTATGAAAGTTTTAAAACAATCAAATTATGGTATAATTATTTTATGTATTATGTTATTAGTTATTTTGAACACAATGATAATTAAATGATATTAATTAGAGGGAAAATAGAAACATAAAAATTATATTTGTAAGCTATTTATTGTGTTATGAATTGTTTTACTTTTTTCATGCAAAATATACCCAGTGTATTGGGTATGATATTATTACCATGTATGTTAATATTGATATTTACTTGTCAATGATGTTAAGAACAAATATCCATCATATCATCACGATTATATTGATACAGATGGGTATTATATAGAGGGAGAAATGGGGTTTAACATCCAGAGGTCATTTTGGGACTAACATATGGTTCAATTTTATTTAAGGCTTGCGTGTAGGAATCTTTAGCAGTGGGAGGAAAATGGAGGACCCAGAGAAAACCCACAGGTTTGACAGGCAACCCTACTCCTTGTCACATACAAGCGGGGAATTGAAACCACACAACTAGACTCAGTGTGTATTGTAATAATTAGGATTGATATCATATCCCCCAGATTGCAGTAGATATTTATACAAATATTGTCATTGATGTGATTATACTGAAATCATCATGATTGTAATATTAGTCATTGTAGTTGTAAAAATTGTATTTGATATTATTATGCTAAAATTGAAATTCTCAAAGAAGGTGATTAATATTTACAAAAAACAATATTGATATGATGATTATATTGCTATTTATATGAAAATTAGCCCTTTGAACAAGAGATACTAGATTTTTGACTGTGACTTTGTAGCGACCAAATTATTCTCGTTTACTCTTTTTAGAACAAGTAGGAATATATTGGGAAAAAAAACAGTGGCTGTGACCTTCACTTGTCATACATCTTGGTTCCAAAAACCTAGTGTGTGGGACGTGAAACATTCAGAAACTCTGCAAAGTGATAAGATGATCACATTGGTATTAACAAGATTATGATTTTACCTTTATTAAAGGAGCCAGTTGTAGCAAAATGGATATATTTTTATTATTTTATCACAATATGTTTATGTACATTGTTTCAGAGGAATTTATTGAATAATGTTAACTAAGGTCATGAATGATCTAGGTATCAAAAATATCAAATCAAAAAACAACAAACATAACATATTTTTACACACATTCGTGTTTCGTCTGGTCGTATGTTGTTATAGCCCCTAGCTATTCATTTGTCGCCATGTTTTGCATTTCTTTAATACTCTTAGTGGAAGATAACAACACATGCAGCCTAATGGATATGCTGCTCCTGCTATCTTGATAGATGCAGGAGCTGCGTTGACAAGTCAAGTTATTTTCAGATAGAGGCATCTAGAATGGTGGTTACATGTTGTGGTTTGGTTCCTATCTGACAGTAACAAAGTCAATGATTTGTTTCCTATCTGACAGAATTGTTTGGAGAGGCTGGGAGCAATCAACTTACTTGTATAGAGTTGTGTTCATCTACTGAACTAGTTAGTTGTGAGTGAAGATTTTGACCATTTTTTGCAAAAGCAGTTCAAGAGTTATGGCCCCTGATTGTTGATACCTTACATTTAATGGTACTCATATAGGACACAGATCACCAAATATTCCTACGCCGTCACCCACGAAACAAGGGCCAAAGCTATTTTTAGTCTTCCTCTCCCTTTTCCTTTTTCCCCCTTTTGCATGGCGATTTTTGTTGACTTTTTGGTGTAGAATCGAGGAAAAGGGTTTGAAAATACATTTTCTGCCAGGTTTTGGTGAATATTCATAATTTTGATGCGGAAGGATACAAGAGTTGAGAGGTTGGTTAGGTTGAAATGTAGGGCCTGAAATTGCATGTTTACTTGTCTCTACTTCCAGCTTGTGTATCTCAAGTTTTTCATGAAGAACCTCATACGTGCTTTTGGGCAAGTGGTTGCCACATGTTGCTCCATCTGTGGTAGAAAGCGTTCTACCCAACGAAAATTTGGGAAAAAGTTAGAGCCGGTCTAAGATACGAGAATTAACATTGGAGTCAATGGGGAAATCTTTAGTGATCTGTGTCCATATTCGCTCTACAAAGTTCAATTCTTAACAGATTTTTATAACATTTTCAAAAAAAAAAATGTTAATTTTGGGGAAAATCTTTACTGTGAGTGCTACTGTGCATAGTTCTTAAACTTAACTGATTTGGATCAACACTGACCAGTGCAAACATGGTTTCTAGACTAGTTGAGGGCTTTAGGCCCCACCAAATTGATTTTTTGTTCTTCAGGAACACCTGTATAGGACTTGGCTTTTTAGTTATCAAGACCTGAAAGAACAGAAAATCAAATTGGTGGGGCCTAAGTTCTTTTCCGATATGTTCTTCCCAAGTTTTTGTCTTTGTGATTGTTGATTAAGGGAATTACCACGTTGTCCTCATTATATAGAGTTCTTGACCAGCTCCAGATTTTTTTTTTCAGAATCTATTTATAATGTGTATTTTACCTCTGTTTTGGAGTTCTATAAACTATTATTAATTCAAAACTATGAAAATTACCAGGTACATTTTAAATATTTTAAGAAGAAACTTTTCTAGATTATTTGAGGAGAATTTCTTTAAAAACTGTATTTTCAAAAAATATTTATCTATTCAGATGTTTGTCTGTTACCTGTTAACCTAGGCAGATGTGTGAAACATTTATGTCACTATGCTCTGAAAGTTATGTCACAAAATAGTTAATGCTCTGAAAATTATGTTGCTATGCTCTGAAAGTTTTGCTACTCTGCTCTGAAAATTGTGACCTCTGAGAGTGTCCCTGACATGAATGTTCTTTCTATAAAACATTTAAGATGAATGACTTGCCAGATCAATGGCTTGCCACAAAGAATGGTGCTGTTTAAAATAGAATATGTTATTGTTTTTCATTATTATTATTATTATTATTACAGAGTTTATTTTTGTACATGTATGTGTAAGGTAAGGAATTATTCCAAATCCCTGCGAATTAAAGTACATGTATGGTGATTACAGGTGAAAAAAAACTGGTTATATTAACAAATTTACTTTATTGATAGACGGGAGCAACAGAGGCTCAGTGAGTAAGACTTTGGCTCGCTAACATGAAGGTCTTCTGTTCGATCCCAGTGTTAGCTGTATTTTCCTGCTTGTTTCCCCCCTTGTCAATGATGCAGGACAGAGGGCCTGGAAAGGTACAGGGAATAGATGTTTGGATGGGAAGAAAAAACGTGGTCCCTTGAACATGGGCTTGAACATACAAGAATTTTATATGAGAGTAGGCTGTAGCGCCGCAGTTCGGGCAAAATTTTCCTCACAGCACACTATGGTGTATGTCCGTCTTCATTAGCCCAGTCATAGCAGAACAGTAGAACATTAAACCCCATTTCATTTCATTTCATTTATTGATAGACAATTTTAGGATCATACTTTCAGTTGTGCTTTTAGGAATCTAGATACTGTCTGGTCATAAATTCCCTAACTAGAAAAAAGACAAAGAAAAAGGTATCAAACAGGTTTTAAGGTTTCTAGTCTTGCAATCTGATTTTGTTTATTTTTATTTATTTATTATTTTATTCAGATCATGTAACCCTGTTGATTAATTAAATTGTCAGTATTTGTATGCAGGGCTGTGCTGTGTAGATTTATGGAAAAGTGTCTTAACTGTTTTTGGGGTTATAACCATTTCCAATACAATCGACACAATAGAAAAGTAGAGTAAAACTCAAATGTAAAAAAAAAAACAAAATTGTATTCCTATTGGTAATCTGGTAATGTAGGCCTACTGTTGAGATTATGTTAAATACCATACCGATTTTTTTAAAGATGCATTATGTAAGAGCTAAAAATCTGTCTATTGCAGGTCTTTATTTTGGCTTTAAATGTTATATAAACTATTAGTTAGACATTTATTCACATGCAATAAATTTTCTATTATCATAATTTTGGTTATCTATTTTTGAACTATTATAGCAATAACCATACAGAATGCATCTTTAAGTAATGCTTTATTGATACACATATATTACTTGAAAGTCTTATTTATCAGTTTATCAAAAATACGCTGTAATAAATGTACATTATATTTGCTTTGATCTCATAAATATAGTTATACTGCTATATAATTTATGTTAATTTATTGGTCTGGCAGTTACAAAAGCTTATTTATACTTATATGTAGTTTCTTCTTTACCAAGAAAATAAATATTAGTACTGAATATAAAATTTGTTGGTATCTGTTTTATACACAATCAAACTGATCAAAGTGTCTCATATATACCCCAAAATGAAGCTAGAGACCATGTATCTTTTCCAAAAATTTCTAGGCCCAACCCACCCCACCCCCCTTGCCCTGTCAGGGAGGTCACTTTGCTAAAACACAGAAACTGAAATTTAACACAACTTATGCCATACCAAATATATGTACTACGTTTTATTTAGTTTTACTCATGTAATAATAATCAGATGTGCACGATTTTGACAGGACATTTTAAGCACGCAAACAAATGGAAAAACCAAAACCGTGACCATCAGACTCCAAAATATCAAAAAGAAAATGCTGTCATCACATAAACTATTCGTTTTTTTTTTCAAAACCCAAAATCATGTTGAAGTGTATTCAAACGGAAGTGGATTTACAGAATCCGATTTTAATCCTAACCACGCCACTAGGTACCCACATTAATAAAAGTCACCAGTTTTCTTCTACTTTACGATCTCTACAGTGTATACCCACAACTTAAAAAAAAAATTACTCGGCATATCTCCGAGCCCCGCTAGTCTCCTGGCCCCTGGACAAGTGTCCCAGCTGTCGCCCATCTCACCATATTCCAAACTGCACGCAGCGATCCATCTACGTCATACGTCATTATGATCACTGCCCTATTTAGCCGCCATTTAAAACGCTCACGTGATCATTTTGGGGCGGGACTTATCGTCTGGACTACAGCTCTGTGTACACAACAGAGTAAAAATAACCCGATCAAGCACGTGTTTTATGTAAACACATGTCTTTAGCAAAATGTCAACTTCTGCCAATCCGGTAAAAGCGATATATAATATGTGCTAGTGGGTAATATTGCAATATTTGTAATTGTAAACTGTCTTTAGAGTTTCAATCTGTTTATCTTTCAAAACAAGGTTAGATACCGCAAACATAACCGCCTCTGTGAAATTACCTTTTATGGGCGCCGCCATATTGAATAATTAGAGGACTATTTTGTGATTCGGCTTTGATTAGTTTGACATCTTTCATACCCACAGCGGCTAAATAAACATATTTAATTCCATTCAATATGACAATAGAAGAGAATTAAATACTTCTAAAAATTACTAAAAGCATACTCAGTGTTTTCGACTAAAATCGTCGATGTAGGAATTAAAATGTCGGGTAATTAGCTTAGGGCCTGTTCTCAAGCGGAGCTAGCTGTAGACAAGCAGCCTAAGTTTGGGATGACCATATTCCTGAAGCAATGGCCAGAGAAATCCCTCTCTGGCCATTTCTGGATTGGCTTCTGATACTTGAACTTTTGAGGGAGAGAGAGAAATGAGGTTTAACGTCCACGCGACACAAACTAGGTTTAATTTTATTTCAATAATTCGCTTGCGCGTAGGGGTCTTTAGTAGTGGGAGGAAACCGGAGGACCCGGAGAAAACCCACGAGGTTGGACAGGCAACTCCTTGTCACGTACAACCGGGGATTCGAAACCACGCCAGTTGACTCAATGACAGGCCTTATAATACAGCGCGCACGTGCTAACAACTTTTGAGGGAGTGTGTCTATTCTTCCCGTTCAATCAAAGCTATCCCAAGTAGAGCAACTTGACAGCACTTCGTTTAATCTGGGGTCTTCCCTAAAACTTTGGACAGTGATTTAAGGTATATTAAAAACGGTGAAAGTATGTTCGTCTCCAAACAGTATGTTTTACATTGTACCCGTGTTGATAGCCTCGTTTGTCACGCAATTAGTTTTTCTGCAATATTCTGCTATGCCCTGGTTAATTGGGCAAAATAAAATCATGAGTCATGACGTAACGTTATGTAAACATATTTGGTCAAATTTGGAGCTCTGTTTAAAGCGTAATGATATTGTTACGCAGTTACCTATTGGTTGTTAATCGGACTATTGACCAGTCATAATTTGGAACAAAAATTTGCTTCCTTTACAGCAGTGTTAAGTGGGATTAGCTTTAATCAAACGGAACACTTAAGATTCTTTGAACATAAATGTATTGTAGTGTACATGTATTTACTGTCTTAATGTCCTTGCACCTGTGGAATTGGGGGACGGGCGGGCAAAATTGTTCATCCTCCGGCGCAAAAAAAAATCTGTCGGAAGACCTGCGTAATGATATTGTAATAAAACTATTACTGTTATTCATTTCGTTTTATGAGGGAATATTTGGTTAGGGGTAGGAGGGCTATAAACTTCATTATTCAGCTTATATTTCTTTGGGGCTATCCACATCCTTATTCGAACAAGGGTGGAGTCCAGTTTCCTTATGTTGGGTGACTATTGAATATGGAATGATCACATACTCTTGGTAATCTTCCGCTCCGCCAAGTCCAGTACTAGCGATATGAAATTTGGCATGCTTGTTCTGTGGTGAAATGGGTATCAGTGCAAGTGAACTTGAAATGAAATGGGGGTTTAATGTCCTACTGTTCTGCTGCGACTGGGCTTATGAAGACAGGCACACGCCATACAGTGTGCTATGGGGGAAATTTTGCCCGGGCAGTGGCGCTACGGCCTCATCTTATATCGAATTCCAACGGACATGGGATCTTAAGCTTGCATACCAATGAACTTTCTCGGTCAACACCGGGATCGAACCGGCGACCTCCAGGCTAGCGAGCCGGCATTTTACTCACTTAGCCACCGTGGCTCCCTATTTAATTAGTGAACGATAAACATATACATGTATAAAGGCACCAAGCCTATGTTGGACATGTATATATTCAGAAGAAAAAAACCCAAACAAACGACTTCTTCAAATGAACAATAATTTTATTCAATCATAAATACGCTTCGAACCACATTATTCTAATATATACCTGGATTGTGAAGTGAAAAAAAAAACAATTTGTGTTATTGTTTTGTACATTTTGGTTGTTTCGTCTGGCCCAGCGTGTTTTGTTGTATGTCCTGTAGCGATGATGAAAGATATCTTGTAAGAGTATAAGCATAAAAAAGACGTTTAATCTGGGAATCTGTATAGTACATCGAAAATTCTGATATTTTGTACCCTACAACAGTCCATCTAGGTTCTCATCGGTTTTTATTTATTTTTTTATACGGTTTTATATTTTTATTGTTAGATTATTTTAACTGTCATCCACAATATGTTTTCAACACATTTACGTCACATCTAAGAGATAGAGAGCGGGGACGCTGACATCCTTTTTTTATATTCAAGTACAAGGAAAGTAAATAAATTAAGTAAAAAAAAAGAAAATAAATTAACGAAATAAAATTTGTGGGGCTACTTTTATGATATGTCATTTTGTTATTAAGGATACTTTTAAGGTCTAAGCTTAATAACTTTAATGGGTTTAGGATATTCCCTTACATATTTCATAAAATTGAGCACATTAAAGACAAATCGGCATTAAATACACTTGCGTGACGGAAGAAACTTAAAAGAAAAGCGTACATATATACAGTCATTTTCAGAGAAAAAAACCCATTGAAATGGCTCAAAATTTGAAGAAGAGAAAAAAAAAGCGAAAGGTAATCACGTTTATTTCATATCAGTAAGTGATTCTGGGATTTGAATTGATTTCCAGTATTTTAAGTGCATTCAACCCTGGCACGGAACAGTTTCTTGTTTAGTTGAGTCCATTAAGAGTCCTCTTCGGTTACAGCCTCTGCTCGCTTTGTTTTCATGATATCTCTTCGGCCACCAAAGGACATACCAGACTGGTTGGCACCAGATGGGTTACCATACTGTAGATTAATAGCAGATTTTGATTCAGCAGCCATATCCTCAACTTTGATATCCGAAATGTGCCTCATAGCACCCATACCCATCATACCCTTCTGTGATGCAAACTGGTTGGTACCTGACTGGAGACTAATAATTCCCTGACCATCCTGAGTAGCATTATCAGCACGGATGTCAGATACGTGACGTACAGCTCCGAAAGACATACCTTTTTGGGAGGCAAATTTGTTAGATCCGGATTGTAAACCAATAATTCCCTGTCCATCCTGTGCTTGATCATCAGCTCGGATATCAGCAATGTGGCGGACTGAACCGAAACTCATACCGCTCTGGGAGGCGAATTTGTTTGTACCGGACTGGAGACCAATGACACCCTGTCCATCCTGAATAGCATTATCACATCGGATATCAGAGACGTGTCTTACAGCTCCCATCACCATGCCAGCCTGACTGGCACATTTGTTGGTACCAGACTGGAGGCCAATGACTCCCTGACCTTCAGAACAAGCATCATCAGCACGGATGTCAGCAATATGACGAACAGCTCCGAAGGACATACCTTTCTGGGAAGCGAATTTATTTGTACCTGATTGAAGACCGATAACACCCTGTCCTTCTGAACACTGGTCTTCTACTTTGATATCAGCAACGTGTCGGACTGATCCAATGCTCATTCCTTTCTGGGAAGCTAGTTTGTTTGTTCCTGCTTGGAGACCAATAATACATTCTCCAGCTCTTAATTGTTCTTCAGAGAAGTTAGTGACGTGTTTTTCAGTTGGCTTTGATCCACATGTTGGCCCATTGAATCCGTGTCTTTGCGCCTGAAAAGAGAGAAGATATACAATTAAAAATATGTTTTTTTGCAGTAGATAGGACCAAATAGTACTTGCTTGAAAACATTGGGAAAATACTCTTCGAAACGTCGCCTAAAAATAAATCAGTAATTCTTCTTCCACAAGTATGTGTTATTGTTTATTGCTCTATCCAGTTGATAAATGCCTCTAAAAGATTAGACATGACCCGTTAATATCTCCCTAAATTGTCTTTCCCCGTGTATATCTGCGGTCAATAATGCCTTAAAATCATGATTTATTTCGTGTCCCAAAATTCCGGCAACGCGACGAAACACCTATAGCATATGTTTAAAATCAAATCCCCTTATCTTGAATAAATTTCAAACTTTTTTTAAAAAAAGGTTACATTAAATCTACTAATGATTTTGCTGCCCTAAAGTGCTAAATGTCACCTAACGGCTTCGGTCGTTATTACGTGTAATTGAAGCACATTAAAATTAAGTTATTTTTGACATCCCATATTCATAAATATAACATGCCGACTACTATTTGCCAATATAACATAAGTTAATAAGAAACTTTCATACCTCAGTTCCCAATTGCAAAATGGTCGCCAGGACCATAGCCATATTCCTTCCTTCGAATAGATCGGAGGTCAAGAATAAACTTGACTGTTTAACTCCATACGCATTACAAGCCTTCAGAAATAGTTCTATGTTTTCCATCTGAAATATTACAAAAGATACATTAATTTAGAATAATTTGACATTTTCTTTTAGGAATGATCTTGCTACAAAACTGCACAAAAGCAATATTTTTTATACACCCCTAGGACCATCTAGAAAAAAGAGCTAAATTCTGGATGTTTGGGTTTGGCCCGGTTCACTGATTTTTAATTGCCTGGAATGCTAATCTAAACAACATGTCCAACTTGAGTGGCATTATTGGCCTGATATAAATAGTTCAGTTAGATAAGTGTTGATAGCTATAAACCTGCCATTGTGAGTATCAAATGACAACATTTTAATTTCTAAAATAAAAAGCTCTTTTTATATATAACATTTTTATTAACAGCTTAACACTAATTATATACAAATTACTCAATATGACACTTGAAGGATTTAAGTTAGTCAAGATTGGTTTTTAACCAATCAATGGATAAACCTCTAGTTTTCCAATGGTGTTTAGAAAAATGATTACACATCCACTAATCAAATTATTAGAAAATAAGTAGGCTGGAAATTCCAGCCTTTAAATTCGCGGACAAATATTCTGTGACATCACTTCTGTGGAAGCAGACGTTAAAGCACCAGGTAGTAGTATTAGTCTAAATCGTCTTGTCTAGAATATCATCCTTGGTGCAAGTGGACGTAAAACCTCAGGAACAAATGACAACGAACATCTAATCGTCACTTGAATTAATAACTGCAATATTAGAACTCTGTTTTGATTTAAAGGTAAGTCTCTTTATTTATTGTATGTAAAATGTTTTTACTTTATTTCGGGAGTCATGATGGCTCAGTGAGGTAAACATTGGCTCGCTAACCTGGAGGTCCCATGTTCGATCCCTGCGTTGTGGAAGAAAGTTGATTGGGATTATCCGGAGTGGTTCCTCCTTGTCAGTGGCGCGAACGAGGGCCTGCCAAGGGATAACGTATAGTCATTCGGATTGGATGAAAAACCTGTGTACACATTGGAGCAAAAGTAAAAGATCCCATGGCAGTTGGAATTCAATTTAGTAGGCTGTAGAGCCGGTGTCTGGGCAAATTATAGCTCAAAGCACACTGTATGGCGTATGCCCGTCTTTATTTGCCAAGTCGGAGCAAAACTATGGAATGTTCCCCCCGCCCCCTATTTCATATTATTTATGTTTTTATATTGTATGAATTGTGTAAGTGTAAGAATAAGATTTGATATTGATTAGGTAGTTATTATAGCATCGGTGATATGATTTAATAGAAGGTATATTTCTACTTTATACCAGCTATTTAAGTAAAATAACCTTTTTTTTAATTTCATTGATTTATATCACAATTCTACTAAGCCAATGGGTATGATTTTAAAATATTTAGTAAATACTTGTTTAGTAAAATAATAGCGATTTAAAATACTCGTCGATTTATGTCAAATATCAAATTAGGAAATGAAATGGGGTTTAAGGTCCGGGACCTCTAGGCTAGCGAGCCAGCGTCTTACTCACTTAACCATCGCGACTTCCTATCAAATTATTGTATCATGATTTATGTATGTTTTCTCTAGATGAAATCAAATTTAACAATATATTTCATTTGACTTTATATATATATTAGATTTAAGTGAACTGAAAAGTACGAATTTATAATATCAAATTAATACTTGATTCAGTGCAAAAGTTGAAGGATAGTTTATATTTAAAATGATTTCAGACATCAGATATCTCTCATAATGATAGTTCTATTTATTTTATATTTTGATATTACACCCACCTATAATTGATTTTATTTGTTTATTTACACCACCCGTAATATATTTACACTTATATTTTGATATTGACTTGAATAAATTATACTAATAACTACAATATTGGAACTCAATTTTCATTTAAAGGATACGAAAAAGCAGGTTTATAGTACTATAATTAAAACATTGTTATATTTTCCCCCAGGTTAAGATGGTTTTTAAAGTGTCTGGCTTCGAAAATATTCAACCTGTATGAAAACAGATAACATTAAACTGAAGAAACACAATGTCTTAAGTGCATTTAAAAGAACTGATCAAAACGTGAAGGAAATTGACAAGAAGATTTATGTTAAAAGTGTATCTATATTAAATTATATTTTTTCATATAGTGATCGCATAAATTTCTGCCAGAAACTATCTGTTGAAATAAACAATAAACTTATTGACAACGGTATACAACATAAAAATAATACTTCTTTATATGATTTGTATGTGGAAATTTCATGTAAATTGCAATTGACAAATCTTAGTGTGATTTCTGATGAACTTGATCAAACAGACACAATTACAACTCTCCAAGAACATTACAAAGACAAATTTAATGCAATAGAATGGACAAGAATATGCCATTTTGAATACCATTATTGTAGAAATTTTAATGGGGGATTATCAGATTATGAATCTGATCTGTCAAATAAATGGAAGTATTATGAGGAGCTGAAGAGTGTTATTAGCATATCCAAAATAATCAGAAAGGAATCCGTAGCCTGCATGGAAAGTCGACAAACGCGGAAAATCACGTTTTTATCTTGTCCGCTTATATGTTTATATCCCAAAGTTCTTGAATCCAGTCGATACTTCAAACCGTGTCTGCCTGCATTATGATACCTGATTGTACGAAAAACATTTTTTTAAAGCTTGTTCTCTGTCCATCTCTTGCAAAATGTTGGCGTCTCTTGCATGGCAACGCTGTATATTAAATATGTTTTTGGTAACCTCTCCCTCTATTTAAAAAATCATTAAATGTTCATATTTATGCACCAACATAAGATATTTTTGGATCAAATTTTCTTAAATAATAATTGATAAGTTTGTAAATTTGTACCCTGTGTTCACATATAATATACATGTACGATGGCTCAATAGGCCGTAAATATTTCAACAATGAGCCCTTTCTATGGAAATAAATATTCATAGATGAATGTAAAGTGCCACTGGCAAGAGGTATAGAAGGATAATGTGCTCAACAACGCTTGTTTTACTTATGGATAGTAATCTCCCCAGGAAAAAAATCCAAAATCATTTAATTGGTTAACATCAAATTGGTCAATATCAAAGTATATGAGTAAAATAGTGTAAGATATTTTATAGCCTGGCTTAGACAAGGTGCTGTACATATTACATCTCATTATATAAGCTTATTATTATTATTACTTTGTGTAATATTTGAATCCATTTTTTTTATTATTATACTAAATTGTTATATTTGTTTATTTCTATATTTAATTTGATTGATTTCTCTTATTCAATTTCAATTTGAATTGAAAATCTCATAGAACCTGATATTTGTATAACCTGGCTAAAATAAGATGCAGTAGATATTACATCTAACTATATCTTATTATTACTTTATGTAATATTTGAATCAATATTATTTACATTATATTAAATTGTTATTAAATTTGTTTATTTCTACTTCCAGTTTGATTATTTTCTTTTATTCCCTTATTTTAGTTCAATTTGAATTGAAAATCTCAAACCCATCTACATGTAGCTTGTAGTTCTAAATATAGAGCAGTGTAATATGACACTTAAACACTGCACCATCTAAATAGATAATAATTGGGCGACAATTTATTATCTTTGAGAAGTTGATGACAAGATTCTCTTCAACAGATCTCTATTATCTTTGAGGTCACATTCCTAAACTTGAAGAAATCTGGCTGATTTCTAGATGGTCCTAGGACTGTATACACATGTATCTTGAGAAATGACACAATAAAATAGCCCGTCTCTTGCTTACCTACTCAAGGGCAAATAACTCGTCTTAAACCGATTCTTTATCTGTACTAATAATATACACCGATAAAGAATCGTTTTAAAACAGAGATCCGTACTTAATTGACCAATTGATGTCTTCAGCTGAGATTTCGATATATACAAGACTAATAATCTTGATCTGGTCAAAATACTCACCTGTTTGAAGTGAGACGTTGGTGCGTTAACTTTTAACTTTATATGGTCACATTTTGGTGGTTTGTTAGGTGTGCCTTCATAAATTTTAATTACGAGACTGAAATGGAAAAATAAATGTAACAACATAGGTGCTAAGGGTGAGCTATGGAAGCTGAACGGCTGGAAATGTACGACGTTTGGGCCCTGTTTTTTTTTTAAATTGTGAGTGCCATTGTGGGTGCGTCTGTGCTACATTGTTCAAGCAATAAATGTAGGTCTATTGGTTTAGATCATAATACGGGTTGCCAGGCAACGAACATAATGCCTGACAGCAGTTTTTCTTACTGATGGCGCCCAAGGGAACATTACCAGAATACCAATAAGCACACCTCTTTGTCTATCAAAGATCTTAAGCCATTCAAGTTCGTAAAACTCTTGCAAATCAAACAGTAAGGTAATCATCGGGCATGCATTAGTCAGCGCTGGTCAAAATTCAAGTAGATTGAGTGACAACTTAGCCACTATAAAAGGACACTAACCACAGTGGTAATGTAGATATAGTTCAAATAGCTGGCCTGATAACTTTAGCCACAAAGATCACAAAATAATCACATTTAATACCTCTTTCATTAAATAAGTGTCAGATTTACCTTTAGGTTTGGCAGGCTGAAGCCTTGGGCCGAGAAAGTTCATCCAGATTTTCCGGCGTGGTTCCCCCTTGTCAGTGATGCAGGACGGAGGGGATGACAAGGAAAGCTGTCTAGTCGTTCGGATGGGACGAAAAACCGAGGTCCCGTGTACACATTGGCGTGCACGTAAAAGATCTCTTGACAGTTGGAATTCAATGTAAGAGTAAGCCGTAGTGCCGCTGTCCGGGCAAACTTTCCCTCATAGCACACTGCATGGCGTATGCCCGTCTTCATTAGCCTAGTTCGGAGCAGAACAGTAGGATGTTAAACCCCATTGGCATTTCATTTCATTTCATTTTAGTCTTTTTATACACATACTGTAGTCTTAAACATCGTCATCATCCTTGGCGTTGTTCGATTGAGTTTAAAACAAACTTTCATCTTTATCTTGTCGTGAGGGAATTGGGGGGGGGGGGGGCTCATAAATAAATGGACTGGCCTAGGGTTTATCTTTATCTTAATCCGAAAATGACAGTAATTAATGGAAGGGTTGGAATCACACTGACGTATTCGTCTGATATCTGTTGTTTCACAAACTTTAATAAACATTACTAGCGGATGACCCGGTGCTGAACGTGTTGAAAGTAGAAAAACTCTGAAACCGGAAGTGGTAGGCCAACGCCACCAGGCCTAGGTTACCTCCTCTGAACAGCCCTACTGTAGCCACCAACCATGAACAGACACAACAAATTACAGTCACAAATATTAGTATATAGATTATCTGCAGATGACGAGATTCGACTGCATCATTTATTTTGTGTAGCCTTTTCTATTTTCTGTGGTGCAACAAATTGTACAAAAAAACCCAAAAAACCCCCCAAAAAAACAATGAATGAAGTCGCTTTGACGCCTTTCCACATACTCACTCCATTAAAATCTTTCCGTTTCGGAGACTTTTCTCTACTTCAAATGTACCAGAACCAATGTCAACATCTAACAGTTCCTTTAACCACTGTTTTACTTCAGCTTCGGCGTTAGTGTCGTATTTGGCGCCCATCTGAAATGTTAATGTTATTTATTTTGATTAACCACTGGCAAAGAATGATTCTTGACTCGTAATGCCTTACGGTTAATCTTATTATACGCACAATAACAATGACTCGTTAATTATTGCTTGTATCCACCATCATTCAATAATCCTGCGATTAATGAACATCAGCTCTGGCATGGACGAAGACCTTGGAGCGTGGTATGGATGGGGCTGGGTCTGGGAGCAGTTCGCCTATTGTCAAGACCGCCCCCGCCCCCTAGCCGACCCCTGACAACAGCAGAGTCGTCTGCTTGGTAGAATGAAAGAAAAAGGGGAAAAGGACACGATTGTATTGCTGTTTTTCCTATTCCTTAGTTACGAATAAAATGCTTGGCAGTAGAACTCATTGTAAAATAGAAAATATATAAGAAATAGGACAGGGTTGTTGAAAATTGTTTAACATATCTTTTCATTAAAGCAATATAATGAAATCCAAAGTGATGCACGAATTCTTGGAAAATAGGAAACCAAACAGATAAACGTAAGCTAAGCTTTTTTTAAAAGTTAGTCCACTAAGCCCAACCAGGTACCGAGTCAAACGTAAAAGGGTCTAGGTGAGACCATGTCAAAAATTATTTACGACAGTGTCAATGGCATTTCTATAATTAGTTTTGTGTGAACATTTTTCTTGCATTATTTCCGTCGATCTGTTATTTGTAAACAAATAATACAATGACTGCCTATACCTTAATACAAAAGGCATGACAGAAATCAGAAATTATAAACTTTGTGGATTGACAGTAGAATAAGAAGTGGTATCGCGTGTTATAAACAGTGTTCTTGGCCAGTCACTATGTACAGTCTAATGAAATAGCAAAAGAAAGCACTTCATTGCAATTGCCCACCATCAGAAATTTTAGCATAACGTACCGGTATTAAAAGTTCCATACAAATAGCCGAGAACCTTAAGTTAATTTGACGACTGCATTGGTTTTTTTTTATCTAATGCGCTAAATTAACAATGCCTACTGGTGATTCCATTCCTGTAGAATATATCATTGTTAGAACCAGCAGATATATATCATGCTGATGTATTTCTATTTATCTATTTTTATCTACAAGATGCGATGTATACACGCTCCTTTAGTGTTCGGTTGATATCATACTCAGACTGGTTAATCGGGGAAGTTGTTTTTACTGCACGTTCAATATGGGACTTGGTAACCTAGACAGGTAACAGACGATCTTCTGATTGTGTATCAGATTTCAGAAGGCTATCTTTAGACTTTGCCTTTCTTCAACTGCCAGTACGTTGCCAATGGACTAATTTATACAACCCATATGGATGGCTAAGTTTGGCTGATTCGACTTCCTTACTTCATTACCACAGTAAATATGATTCTCAAGCAATTTTAACCCATAACACATGTCATCGGTAGATTAATATTTAAGTAATCACAGTTTTTGATATGTGATGGCCGGACAATGACAATACCAAATTCATGCCGGACATTGCTTTGTTTTAGTCGACCATAATGATCTAATTTTAAGAACTGAGTCACTGAAGATCTTTACCGAATAAAGGTATGGCGGGAACCATTTACGTAATCAGTCACTACATGTGGAATTCTAATGGTAAGAAAAGGTATAAACTATCATAATTAAGAGAATTTTATTTTCGGGAAATTATTCTTGCGTATTAGAGCTTTAATTCCAGTTTCACTAGTCGACGTAGTGTTAAAATATACTATTTAAAAGTGTATTAATTTTGCTGTCAATTCTTTTGAAACCAATCTTTTTTTCTAAACCATGGCGTTATAAGAGAGCGAATGACCTTTTGATAGTTTGCAATATATATTCAAAAATGCTGTATTTATAATAAGGAATAAGATTAGTTTTACTAGGTTCAGTTTAATTTAGAAAATATACAGTACGATAATTAAACGTTAGTATTTATACCTAAAATCAATTATACATTACCATAATATACGTTTATATTTATACTTAAGATCAAATACACATTTTCATAATATACCTTTATATTTACACCTAAGATCAAATATACATTTTCATAATATACGTTTTTGTTATGACAATTAATAGGATGTATCGTTTGGAATTGAATTTGGAATGTTGGTGATTCTATTGAATGGAATGAAATATAATGGGGTTTAACGTCCTACTGTTGTGATCCGACTGGGCTAATGAAGATGAAATACACCATGCAGTTTGTTATGAGAGAAATTTTACCCGAACAGTGGCACTACGGCCCACTCTTAGTTCGAAATCTAACCGACAAGGGTTGTTTCACGTGCACCCCAATGTGTACACGGGACTTCGGTTTTTCGTCCAATCCGGACGGCTATTATTGTTACTTGTTGACAGGCCCTCCGGTCTGCACCACTGACAAGGGGGGGGGGGGGGCAACGCAGAGAAATTCTATTAAACCAGCGACCCTCTTAAACTGGGGATGAATAATTCCTATTTAGCCCTGTGAGGTAAGTTGCTTTCTGGAAAAAGATGGATCACAGTGTGCAAACCCAAGCATCCATGCTAAGTCAGCGATATCTATTCGCTGTGAACAGATCCAATTATTGATGATGTCAACCAGTAAGAGAAGAATTCAGAAGATTTCCATCTCTTATGTTTCGAAATTCATATCAACAGTACGTCTGCTCAGTGTTATGATTCACCATGGAGACCGTCTACTAATACTGATTTTTATCATTTAGGTATCAGCAATGGCATCACATTAGGGTGGGTCTGTTTAGCTCCCTTCCATGGATCACTCATCTTTGATATTTGATCTCTTGGTTGGTATAGGACACCAAATGGTCTCACTGATAAATTTAATCAGTAGTCGTTGTGGAGGATGTAATATCATCTATACCTATCATAAATTGAGCGCAGCATTACCATCAGTGGCGCACATGCCGGAGGGGGTGGAGGAGGGGATGTACGAATATATGTCCCGTCAAGTCGTCACAGAAATTATGGCAATCATCTGACTATCTATTCCACAGAACATCTTTTGAGCATAAATAATATTATCAATTTTCATATTCTTCGAAAACACTGCGAAAGGCATTGTCTGGTATAATTATGTCTATCTAGTAGTTGACGAGTATAGCCATGCACCGGACGTAGCAGAACTCCGAAACCGGAAGCAGTAGGTCATCACCACCATGCCTATGTTAATTACTCCCCGGTCCGAGCTACGGAGCTACCCCCAACAAACGACAGTCACAAAGTAATATTAGTATAGATTAATGTCGGGTAAAAATAAAGAAATACAGGCATCCGAAAATGTGCGCCGTGTACGTTAACTTAAAACTGACTAGACCTTATCTCAGTCATGAAAGCGAGTTTTATCTTTAGCATGTTTGGACTGTTAGAGCGCAGAGCCAATTCCTTTTGACACGGACATTCCATAACGTTACAGAAGACCTTATCTCGACCATTATAAGGGAATGTTATCTTTGGTATGTTTGGACTGTATCGGTTCTCCCCCGATCACTCAGTATTACTGAATTTTATTGTCCTGAATTGTTTCGAATGTAATCTCGAGTCCATATATAGACATCATGCAAGTACTAATGAGCTTGGGTAATTAATGCAGATGTACTTCCTGTTAAATCTATTAGAGGTGGTGGTCTTCATCATTTTTCAGCTCTATGTGTCCGAATGATTTGAATGTATGTAATGTGTCTGAAACTGAAATGGTTGTTTAGTTGTTCTTGTAACTCTAACAACAACCAATGTATCCGGTAACCGTGTTCCAGTTTGAATTTCCAACATATCTTTGGCACACGTAGCATGTTTCGGTAGTCTTGGCTTAGTGCATGAGGATGCCATTATCGTTGGCATTATAGTAAGAGATCATGGTTTGTTGTTAATATTATTTGCCCATCTCTTAAAGCGACAATGAGTCTGTTTAATCCAGAATAATTTGTTATTATTAATTAGTCTATAATTGTTGAATATGTAATTTCTAACACTATATTCCCCTTTACTTTCACTATTTAAAATCTACTTTTCTGTGATTTATCTCTCGATATCACCGCTTATCGCAAACAACTGTTATTTCATATACCGCCTAATTTAGGAATTAGAGTTTTGAAACCTTATATTTGAGAAATGTGCGATTTTGTAAGGTTAAATGACAAGGACTTTTTTCGCTATTGTTTCAGTGTGGGTATATTTACATTGGTCCAATATCCACCACCAGTTATATAATCCATAATATGATAATAATACCCTCGTTCTTTCTATGTATAGCCTTTCTCTCCCTTTGTTGACTTTTTGGTGGAAAATCGAAACAAGTTTGTTGATAGTCTGTACATTTTCGACCTGGGTTTCGTCAATTTTCACGATTTAGAGGCGGAATGATAAAGCAGTTAAACGGTTGATCACGTTGAAATCCCAAGATTTATATGGAGAATTCCATACATATTTCTGGGGAAGATTTTGGAGAAAATAAGAGCCACGCAAAGAGACGAGGATTAAAATTAAAATCAGTAGAAAAATCTTTGTTGATAGCAGTCATTTGTAATCGGACTATTGTGAATTTCAATAGGGTTCTTCTTTATTTCACATTTCGTTTTAAAACACCCCTTCGAACATTATATGATTACCACTAAATGTGTTATTTCTTAATTAATCTTAAAATGTGCTGTAAAGATTTAAGTTTGAAACGTCTGATATATTATATTGACGTGAAGAAAAGCATTTAGTGTAGTCGGCTGTTGTGATCACTACAATCATTATAATGTCAGGCGCGTGCTGCTGTTTACCGTTATAAGTGATGATAAAAGCTGTAATCCAATACCCTACAGAATACCAGCTGACCCGTCCACATTCCTACAAAACCGAATGTCTGCATGTAGATACCGTTAATCAGTCTATTTACATTGAATGCTACAAGGATCCGTCTTTATGCCGACCTCTTTCATATATCCTACAAATGATATCTTGTGTTATGCAGTATGATGATATGATTTTTATCTCCTCGATCAAGATGCAGATATTCAACCAGTTTAAAGATATCAGTTTTTTTTAATAATATCTTTAGAAAATATCTCACCAAATTAAAGTTTCATTCTACTAAATTAAAGAGCCCTTAGTATTTTGAAATGAAAGAATTTCAACAGAATCTTGTTTTTTCAAAGTATCAATCTTTTCTCTTCAAAAGTTTAGGGAAGGATATTTATTTAATAGGGAACTGAATATAAAAATACTAAAATCCTTCATTAGAAAATGGAACTTTTGGGATGATGTTGCAATATTACAAAATGAAGTTTAATGTAGTTAAAGCAGGCAAAATATTTTCAAAAATAAAATGGTGTTCTTAAAATTCTGAAATGATAGACATCTATATTCTATTTCTGTTAAAATATATTATAGAGATCTTTTTAAAGTGGTTGAATAATTTATACTAATAATTTTATGGCCATATTTAAAAACAATTAAGTACTTAACCAGGGCAAGTATTTCTATTATTTTATTGCTTCCTGTTGTGCAGATTATCACTTACATAGATTTTATTGCAATAGAAGAATATTACAGAGCTGTTGTTGGTTTTAACCAATCCTAGACAAGTATTTTAATGAACACCATGTTTCAGCAGACATGAGTAAAGTAACCTTCCATTAAGGTTGATCAAATATGTCACGCTTCTACAGTACTAATTAGACCCTTACTAATTATAACATCACCAATTCACGCCAAGAACTGCTTACATAAATATTATAACATCACAAATTCTCGGCAAGAACTGCATGCATACATTATAACATCACTGATGCTTGCATTTTTGTCAATTCTCGTTACGCATCCAAATGAGTTGAGAATGAATTATGTCACGCATTTACCTGACTAATTATAACACCACTAATGCTCACCAAGAGCTGCTTGCATAATTTATAACATCACTAATGATCACAAAGAACTAACTGCGTCCATATTTATCAATCCTCGTTACTCAGGCATGTATTTTCTTTGAATTGAGAATTAACCATGGATGGAAGATCGCCGTGGACAATATTGAATCCGTGTCATTAATTTTAATAAGCGCTCGCGCCTTTAATGATTCCCCCTTTCTCGTAATAAGAATTACGTAATCCACATGATGAGCCTCTTCATTACTGACAAGCTAGCAAATTGGAATATAATCCGTCTCTTTGATCTTTTTGGAACACTGATTACGCAAAACACTGTATGGGAATTGTATTAGAGAGGGTAACTTGATAATTAATTATCCAACAAACACTTCCCCAAATTATAAATGCGTAATCATGGACAATTTGCAACGAGATTGGTGTTTGGTATACATGCTGAAGTGATTCAGTCTTCATAAGTACCGCACAATTTGTCGGAATTGGTCTTTGATAAACTGGAATCAGACGTCTGTCTGTATGACCAGTTTCATTATAAATTGCTCAAACTTATATTGAATTCCACTGGAATTTACCAATAATTAGCCACGGTGGCTAAGTGGGTAAGACACTGGCTCGCTAGCTTGGAGGTCGAGTGTTCAACCCTGCATTTGCCGATAAAGTTCATCCAGATTTTTTCAGCGTGCTTTCCCCTTGTCACTGGTGTATGATGGGGGTGTGTCAAGGACAGCTATCTAGTCGTTTGGATGGGACGAAAAAATGAGGCCCCGTGTATACATTGGTGTACACGTTAAAGATCCCTTGGAATTCGATAGAAGAGTAGGCCATACTGCCGCTGCCCGGGCAAAATTTCCCTCATAGCACACTGCATGGCGTATGCACGTCTTCATTATCCCAAACGGAGCAGAACAGTAAGACGTTAAACCCCATTTCATTTCATTTGATTTCTAGACATTTCGAGTCACATAGGCCTATAGGCCTATCAATAGAAAGTCCACCGTAAATGTTAGAAGAAAACATTTGGGATAAAATAATGAACAGATTGGTGATCTAAAATGTATATGTTGTCGTCCATTGGATATTGTATTTTGTTGGCCGTTTAGGAAGCAATATGCCTTTATAGTTTATTTGGCAGTAGGAATGCTTGCTTAAGTTCTCTCATATAGTCTGGTGTTGGCAACCTACCAATATGGATACGAAAAAAAAAAAATTCATTTTTTTAAAGCCATCCTTCAAATATTCACGGGTGTCATTCACAAGGCAGGCCCATGTATCTATTATTTCTAGAGCACGTGATACTATTTCTTTTCTGAGAAGTTGACTCAGCTAACATTTTCTTTTCAAACTTTCGTAAACTGACTGGCGTTAATTTCTTAAACATGACTGGACATTGGGAGAACCTTTGGTTTATTTAAATGACAATTGTATTGTTCTATTTATTAATCACTTTACTATCTGTCTGAACCTTATTATTCATGTACTTAAGCTATCCATATTCAGTTCACGATGAATTTTTTAAAGTATGTGTTAAACGTGTACGCGGAATGTGATGACGTCATAAATTGAGAAAAAAAATATTAAATTGGGTAAAGAGTATTAAAAGATATGATTCTCGTTGCCTCTGTTGGCATCATTTTGTTTACGGTTTTCGCGTTCACCCATATCACACGAATGCTTCAGTGTATTCGCTGAGCTGATATTGTGCTGAGTGGTAGCTTACATCAGTCTAATTTTGGAAAGTGTTCATATTAGGCGATGCGAGGAATGCACAGAAGGCCTGACGAATTCTCGGTAATTGTGCTTCTGTTACTAAACGAACTTTATTGTATTGTAATTTGTATCATCTTTCTTTAATAAAACGGTGCGATAGAATATTAATGATCAAATATTATGTATTCAAAGAAAGGAAACAAATCACAAATTTTAATTTATGCAAAAATGAGTTAACGAGAAATGGTATCAGGTGCTCCAGTAAATTGATCATTTTATGCCCCGTGCAGTATACTGGACAATGACATGATACATATATAGGGAAGGTGGCATTTTTTTTACATGTAAGTGGTATGAAATGTTCCAGACATTATATGAGTAACCAGTCTCTTCAGGGTGAGGTTTAGATAGAGGGGAAAGAGAATTTTCATTTCTCGTCTGGTAATCAATCGTGTAACCAAAACGGCCTCGACCTCAAAGACATCGTGATATATATGGTGGTGATATTTGACCTTGTTGTTCAGATGAATATAAATCTTACACAGATGTCACAGTTACAGCTTAGTTGTAAAGAAATCGTAAAGTCTTATAGATAAACGCTACATTTGAATAAAAAAAACAATATCCATTATGGGAAGACTGGGACTTTAATGGATTTTGCCAGTGTGTGCCCATAAAGGGATGGCTGTGGGTTGTCCAACAGGTGTTAATTTGTAAGGTAATGATCGGAAAGTTTCTTAAAATTAGATCATTATCAATAAAATCATATTTATATTGATATCGAGAAACCACCATGCTGGTTTGTTATTAAAGATAAGACATATCGCGTGAAATTAGATATTTACGACTCGATATATAAATACACCTGACATTTTGATCCTGGAACCAGCAAGATAAAAGTTAATAAATGGCTCACCTTCGTGATCAAAGCACGATCCATGCCTTTGGGTGCTGCTATAATCGCCATGGTTAATGTTTTCTAAAATCACAGTTCCACTAAAAAGAAAGGGGTTACTAAATGATCCTCAAGTTGAAAACGCCGAGCTAGGAACTGGGCGAAATGGTACTGCTAGGCCAACAAATACCCTCACGGCTCTTACTGCAAGCTTCGATGGAAAGGATGAAGACGGTTACCGATATGATAATATTCTTGCCTGCTCAGCTGCCGAAAAATTGGCCGTTACCTTGGTTTCATGTTTCAGGCATCTACATGCCTTCACCTTATATGTCTCGCAACATGTGACTGACTAGCGCTTCTGGAAAGACGGTTGGTCGAGAAATATTTGGTAAACTCCTTCGGAAGTGGCCGTTGCTAAGGCGAATATTACTGACTCACATTTCTGTGTGATGTGACGGATTCCCCATGTTCACTCCAGCTCCTCCCTCGTGTTATTTATTTACAATATATAGAAACTAGTTGAAGTTTACTCCTAGATTCCGATCAGACGTGAGTCATTCTGACGTTTTTATGGTGCCATCACATTGGCGTTTAATATCTATTGAACTTATACATGAAAGCTATTAATGAAAGTGTTCGGTCCAAATCTGGTACAATAAGTTCACCGTTATTTCATTGAGTCTTCAAAACGTAAAAAAGCTCAGCATCGCCTTACTTTTGATAATTCCTTGAAATTACTTGTTTGTTGATGTCCTTAATGTTGACAAACAATATGTTCATTGATGTATTCTATATATTAAAAAAAAAAAATTAACAAGAATTGGTTTTAGGATTTATAATTGTAAAGCGAATTTAAAATGATAATAATATTAAAAGTGTTCTTTATAAATTTTGGAATTACAGTTTAACGGTGACTACTCTTTATTTTATGAGGGAGGTGGGGTGGGGCGAATGGTCTAATACGTGCGCTTTTGATCAAAAGGTCTGTCAATAAGTCAATTAGCGAGGTTGCGATCTCACACATGTACGTGACTAGATCAGGTTTTCCTGCCTAAAATCGTGGATTTACTCCGGGTTCTCCGGTTTCCTCAAACTGCTAAAGACCCCCTACGTACAATTATTGAAATACAATTGTTGTACCCGCGTGTCAGTCTCGAAATGACCTAGTTTTATTTGGTTGATGTTAATCTTCCCCATCTCTATCTATCTATCTCTCTCTTTCTCTCTCTCTCTCTCTCTCTCTCTCTCTCTAAGATATGTATTCATTTACTCTGACATGTGGTTTATTCGATATGAGCGTTGACGGTATGATGGAATTGTTTTCGTATCTTAGTCAAGAACCCATGGTTAAGCTGATTGAATCAGTGATTCTATGTGAGTTGATAGGATTTCCAGGAATTCTTGCAATCTTGTCATCCATCGAGGGTATTCCATAAATTCTTCATTTTAACCAGTTATTTATACACCGGTAATACTGGAAATTAATCAGTCGCATTAAGTCATATTGACCTTAGTTAAGACATTGAGATATTAATACATTACCTGTATGGCCACAAATGAAATGAAATGGGGTTTAACGTCCAACTGTTGTGATCCGAACTGGGCTAATGAAAACGGGCATACGCCATACAGTGTGCTATGAGGAAAATTTTGCCCGGACAGCGGCATTACGGCCTACTCTTATATCGAATTCCACCTGTCAAGGGATCTTTTACGTGCACGCCAATGTGTACACGGGACCTCCGAACGACTAGACAGCTGTCCTTGTCAGGCCCTCCGTCCTGCATCACTGACAAGGGGGAACCACGCCGGAAAATCTGGATGAACTTTCTCGGGCAATGCAGCGATCGAACACCCAACCTCCAGGCTAGCGAGCCAGCGTCTTACCCACTTAGCCACCGTGATCCCCGTATGGCCACAAAGACTACGTTTTCGTTTGACAATGAATTGAGGAAAATTGAGTATTAGAATTCGTTGTATTATTCTCGTTGCAAAAAGTGTAAAACTTTATCCCCAGATCTCACAAAAAATGGGCAAAACTGTACACATATATTTAGAACTATGGCTTAGAACCAATAAATCTAATGTATATCATAGAATATACATTTTCTTTTGACAATGAATTGGGGAAATATCGAGTATTATATATAATCCATTATATTATTCTCTTGCAAACAGTTTAAACTTTATCCCAATTCTCACACAATATGAGAAGAAAAATGAGCACATATATTTGGAACTACGACTTAGAACCAATAAATAAAATGTTTAACACTTAAAACCCAGCTATAAAGTATCTTATCTTTAAAATAGGTCTAATGTTTATGCCTTTCTACAACTAGATGTAATACATCATATTCATTCACCCTGTGTTCATACGCCAGGTGTTGTCTGCTAAAAAACTTTATCTGTTATATAAATTTATCATTCCAAAAATGATTTAAACTTAATACACTTAATGCAATATTAGTATTTGAATTCAGTTGAAACAGACGTATTTTAGACATTGTGTGATAGCATTATTCGAATTAAGTATAAGAAACAGGTAAACATGTTTTAAACATATCAGACATTATGTGATGTCATTATTAGAATTAGAAAAACACGTTATAAAAATATCAAACATTATGTGATATCATTATTTGAATTAAGTATAAATGAAATGAAATGAAATGGGGTTTAACGTCCTACTGTTCTGCTCCTATACTGGGCTAATGAAGACGGGCATACACCATGCAGTGTGCTATGAGGAAAATTTTGCCCGGGCAGCGGCACTATCCCCTACTTTTATATCGAATTCCAACTGCCAGGGGATCTTTTACGTGCATTCCAATATATACACGGGACCTCGGTTTTTCGTCTCATCCGAAGGACTAGACAGCTGTACTTGTCAGGCCGAATTAAGTATAAGAAACAGAGAGAAAGAGATAGAGAAATGGGGTTTAACGTCCACTCGACACAAATATTGATATAGATGTACAAATGGGGTTTAACTCGTCAAAAACTAGGTCATTTGGGACTAACATATGGTTCAATTTTATTTCAATAATTCGCTTGTGCGTAGGGGTCTTTAGCAGTGGGAGGACACCGGGGCACCCAGAGAAAACCCACGAGATTGGACAGGCGACCCTATACAACCGAAGAATCGAAACCACGCCAGTTGACTCAATAGACTTTATGATACAGCGCGCACGTGCTAACTTTTAGGCCATCCACCCCCCCCCCCCTATAAGAAACAGACAAACATGTTTTAAACATGTTTTAAACATTCAAACATGTGATATCATTGTTTGAATAAAGTTGGAAAAAGACAAACATGTTTTGTCACACATAACGTGATATCATTATTTGAATTATTGTATAGAAAATATAATACAAACATGTTTTATCAGACATTATGTTATATCAGTATTTGGATTAAATGTTTTCAGGAGAGGTCAAAACTTTATACCAGGCTAAACACCACTCCATGTTAACAATGTTTAATTTTGAGTTTATTGGGGCTATTTTGGGTGACCTTTCTTGCATTATTGTTTTGAAATAGCCACTGAGATATGCTTTAAAGCTAGTTAGGAATAAACTTCCAATGATAGCACCCTTACGGTGTGTCTACCAAACGGGCAAGCGGTGTAAATAATTGACACCAAGAAATAATAAATTATATCGCCGTTAAAATTATAAAAATATCTTATGTTGTTATCAATGTGGGGGGTTGGATGGCTGAATGGTTAGCACGTGCGCGCTGTATCATAAAGTCTGTCATTGAGTCTACTGGCGTGGTTTCGATTCCCCGGTTGCACATGACAAGGAGTCAGTAGGGCGCCTGTCCAACCTCGCGGGTTTTCTCCGGGTCCTCCGGTTTCCTCCCACTGCTAAAGACCCCTACGCGCAAGCGAATTATGGAAATAAAATTGAACCATATGTTAGTCCCGAAATGACCTAGTTTGTGTCGAGTAGATGTTAAACCCCATTTCTCTCTCGCTCTCTCTCTCTCTCTCTCTCTCTCTCTCATCAATGTTTTAATGTGTCAATTTACCATGATATATAAACCGGATACACAATATTGTGAACAATGATATTCGATATTTTGAGCAACATCTAACTGATGGCAAGAAGAGTGTTTTCATTCCGAAAAGTTTATTTCAGAAATACCTTTATTTAGGAGCGAACCGTTTTATTATTTCAAGTACATTACATCAATAATACCATGACTCAGTTGTGCTTAGGTTATGTGGCTCTCCTTTTATAGTAGATCTCATTTAGGCAACACGGCCCTTTAAATCGGTAAATACCTTCACAGAGCTCCAGTGAAACTGATACATGTGCGGTTCGGTATTATACTTAATACAGTCCTTGATACAGTTATTTGGGTGGACTTAAGTAATTAAACAGCAGTATAGATCTATAACTAGAACTGGGTGAAGTAGGTCCTCGTTCATTCAGTCCAGATTCGCTGAGGAAATACATCTATAACAGGGGCGGATCCAGAGGGGTGGGGTGGGGCAGTTTTGCTCAGCTAAACATACAAAAAGTTGTAAGGTTTTGGGGTCCCCTGCTCCGCTACATAATAAAAAAACATTGTGTCACGGCGTGTGCTTTATCCTTTATCACCAGATGGTGGGATGGGATGGGCATTCAAAGTGCGAGATAATGAAAAAGAGATATCTGATATCACCTTTAATGCTTTGCATCAATGAAATTGAATCACAATGTGGTCGTATCAATTCATAATAAAAATTGACGTCAAACGGGGTGGGGTATTGGTTTTCTCTCTTTAAAAAAAGCCCAGTTTGTATGTATGCCTCATAATTTGGAGATGATGATGTCCGTCTTCTTCTTTAAGTGTCATCATGCATGTTTTTGTGTAAAATCTAAGTCTCCGTGTTTTGTGAAAGTGACCTCTGGTTATCCCAGATATACGCCAAAATTGCGATAGAGACCATGTAGTTCTCAAAAAGTTTCAAGACCAGGGCAGGGCGAGAGAACATTTTTTCAGGAACCTGACAACCCCCCTCCTGCAAAAATTTCTGGATCCGCGCCTGTATAAATACTAAATATAAATATGACATGTTTAGTATGTATACCGGTTATTATAGATCTATATCTCATCAAGATGGATGTACATGACATGCAGCATATATTTTAAAACCAGGGTCATTTTCCCAGAATTTAAATTCCAGTTAGACGTGGCTAGTGTTTGGTTTAAACTACATGAGATAGTCGTCTTATGTTCCGAAATGTCAGTAAACGTTATCA